ACAAGATCAGGTAAATTATTTGTTGATAAATTTTTTCGTTCACAACTAACAGTAATTGTTGTTGTTGGCGAAGAAATCATATTTGATATAGGTAATGATAAATTTGTTTGATATTTACGATGTGTTAAGATTGATGTAATACGACGTTTTTGTAAATTAGGTGACGTATTACAACGTTTTATTGGTGATAAGGTAATGGTCGTTTTTGTTGTCATTCTGTTGAATTAAATGAATGTGTTATGTGTTGTTGATTGAAATGGAAAAATGAGAAACAAACGAACGAACGATCGATAAGAACGACAGAGAAAAGGAAAGGAAAAAAATTTCTTTTTTTTTTTTTTTGATAGAAAAAGAAAATGGAATGTTGATTGATTGGAGAAAAATTTTTATTTTTTCGATGACCGTTCACATACAGTTAGAGAATACATCGTGTGTTCATCTATCTATAAAATTATAGAGCGGAATATAGTCTTTTTTTTTTGTTGTTGCTTTTTTCAAAACAATTAGGATAACCGTTGCATCATACGATTAAATACATTCAAAGAAAAAGATAAGAAATTGATGATCAACACGAAATAAATCACTTTTCTTTTTAACATGGTGGGAACAATTTGTTTTCTTGAAAAAAAAAAAAGAAAGAAACGCCTTCTGGCATATAACTGTTCGATGTCTATTTTATTTGATCGACGTCATAATCTTTCATTTTACATCGATCAGCAATAATGCAACTAACCGTAGACAGAGAGAAAAAGATTATCATCATCGACTATAGTAATAAGAATGTTCAACAAGTGTGTTGGTCACACGTAAGAAAAAAACGATATTCAATGAAGTTGAAATAATTTTTTTTTTGGATAATCTCGTCGAGATGATCACCACTTGACAATAATCGAATAGTCTACAAATGTATCTGTAGATCACCAAAAAGACGAAGAATGATTTACTGTCTATTGATTGCATAAAAAATTTATTCGAATTAAGCATGCAAGATTGTGCTTAGTTGCAGAAAAGACCTTATCAACATCTACACTCACAAACTACATTTGCGAATAAAAAATATGTTTAATAAATGAATGTTTAATTCAATTGTGGCTATGTCTTGATAGATTGAAAGCTGCTGAATGAAGATGCTTTTAACATTTATTAAAAGTTAAACATCAATCTCGTTTTGTCATTTCTTGATATTTCTTCTTCGAAATAATCAACGGACAGTATAATCGTGTTAACTATCAACGATATCCTATGTATTAATTGACAGGAGGAGACATCAAAGAGTGTGGATACTGTTATGTTATTTATCTGAAGGAGTATCTTCTTCGAGAATTTCTATTCTTAATAAATGAAAAGATCTAGAGCACTTGTGAATGCAGAACTTTATATAATAGCAATATGTAAAATGTTCTTTTACTTATATATCTGATTCAATTTCTCTGAATATGATTATCTTTATAATCGTCTCTATTATTTAGTTATTAGGGATACGTGCTTAATATTTTCATTCTATATGAATAAGTTTCTCCTCCTTTCTCTTCCGCAATCTAAACATATATACATCTAGAGAAATAATCAAATCGAGAACAACACAATGATAATAAAGATTAGAATCTCTTTCGATTACTATTGTTCTCACATTTGAATAGTATGTCGAGCAGATTTTCTCGTTCTATAAACACGCGATGTCTTGTGCCATCTACTCATCGCCATCCAACAATGAATGAACAATTGTACAGGAAATACAATATTGAATAGTAGACACAGCATGTTATAGATTTATTTACACCTGCATTCACAATCAGACATCCATCCGGTGCCACACCTTTCACTCATACAATGCCAGAAAAAAAGTTACAGTAAAAAAAAAAAAAAAAGCTACTAACTTCTCTCGCCTATTGTTTAAGTGAGATATACAGACACATTCGTGTAGACAGGCCATTTAGTTGAGTTCTCACAGTAGGAATCATTTTTTGTTTTTTTGTTTTTGAGAATAAGAGTCTTCATTTCACGCTTGTTAATAATCAATGACTATCAACTTTCGATATAATAAAGAAAAAAACATAATATTCTTATTATAATGGAATGTGTATGAATCTACTTGACCACACTCTTTATCGATGACACGTGAAACTACTCTGATTACGCATATCTTCTCACTTTCTCTTCATTGACATGCTGAGGTGCGAAGAGGAAAATGTGCCGTATGGTGATTTGATTAAAAACAAAAAAAAAAAAAAAAAGAAAATTTGTCTTTCTTTTATACTGAAATTTTTTTCTATTGTTTATCTGAGACAATTAGAAATAGTGAGCGACGGCTGAACTATGCCGAATAGATCAGAGACAAATAATGACCTCAAGCCATATGACGTTGATTACAGAGAACAGGTCGAAAAAAAAAGAGTAGTGGAACGGCAAACAACCTACTCAATAGTGCATTGATCCGCATGCACGAGCATAAGATTAGAGCGAGTGACTTACTACATTGATATCTTGCGGGCAAAAGAAAGTGCAACAAGTAGATGACGAAGATGATGATAATGACAACTATGTTTTTGCTATTGTTTTTCTTTCTTTAAAGACTATTTATGATAAGAATAGAAAGAATATATGTAGAGAGAAAGATCAAAAACAACTTGAGTATGAGATAAGTAATTGTTAACAATATGAATAGAACAATTGGAAAAAACAATCATGTTCGTGCTGATTGAGGAGACAAATCTTGAATTCTGATTTTTCTATACAAGTTGTACCGCCGCTGAATTAAATGAAAAAAACTTCGATCAATAACATTGTGAACTGATGAGTAATAAGTTAAAGATTATCATCAATAAAGTTTTTATATAAAACAAATGAAACATTAAGATTGTCAACAATAACTATTTTCAAAAGTATTTTGTTAATATGATAAACATATAAACATAAGGAGAAAAGTTCGAGTACAAATTTATTACGATCAATACTATAAAAAGATTAAAAAAAAAACAAATTTCGATATCAACTCTTTTATTTTGACCAATCAAAATTTTGTTGAGATTTTCTAATATCACTACAATAGAGCCATATCAATCTGAAACTCGAGAATTTTATTGTCTAAAGTGTTGCTTATTAACGTTCACTGTAGAATGTGTTCTTCACAATTTTAAGGAAACTTTTCTAATTCTTGTTAGTGTTTTGGTAAATTTTATTTGATTTATTCACACGTTACTTGTAAACAATTTTGTAATCTGTAAATATTCTCAGAAGACGAATAGTGCTGAATCTTAAGTCCTATTCTACAGCCATGCCTTTAATATTTGACCACTCTATTTTGATGAGATTGCCAATCTTGATTCGCACATAGGCAATCGTTAGTACCTCCAAAAACCAACCTGTCATGAATGTTAAAGTTCTGTCGGTGGTACCAACCTATTAAGAATGCAAGCTTTGATATACAATAATCACGATTAAAATCGAAAGAATAAAACCAAATAGTGGACCTATTATACTCATAGATCTTCGAATAGTTGTCCAACAAGCCCTCAACTATAAGACAAGTAAATAGGCTATTGCATCAGCAACATTGCTGTGGTATTATACTTTAGCACTATAGAGCTGCTAACAATATGTACCAATTTGTGGAACGGACTTTAATGCTGCTGATCTCAATTGTTGATAAATTTCTCGATCATAGTTCAAAAATTTAGAACTATTTTTAGGAAAATTTCTACTCTACAACTCGATCTTTTGCTTGAACCTTGCATAGAAATGAAAAACTGAGATATTGTAATTTTTAGAAAATTGAATAATTATGCCGGCTGATCGTTTTTTTAATAGTACAAAAATAAGAGGTGTATGAGTTTGGATGACAGCGAAAATAAAACTCACATGCACACTCGTTGTTGCATCATAGGATGCTATCAAAAATATATTTTATTCCTATTAATCGATGATGATAAATAATGACATATAGATATGTTTGAATAAAAATTAAACTTCAGAAGTACAAAACTGTACTTTTATTTCAAAAAGTATGACAGACTTCAGTGCTTGGCATACACCTGTTTTTTTAAATTCTTGCTTTTTATGGAAAGAAACAAGAGGACAAGTTCTCTGCTTCGAAAAGTGATCATCAATTAATAGAAGTGTATTTATTTATATCATAATAAAAAGGCTTAATTCAAAAAAAAGGACACTTAGCCTCACATGCTCTTGAAAACAAAAAGAGCAGTACGATACAAGTTTCTTAGAGAATTCTCGGATGCAAGATCAAAAACGCACAAACAGAGAAAAAACGAAAAGTATTTCTCACTTGTTCTGAAAGCATTATATTTTTTGAGTAGATGATGATGGAACTCATGAAATTTTCGCAAAAAAAAGAAGCGTCAAATAAAACATCATGTTGTTTACGAAAGATCATACATCGGGCTATCATTGCATGCATTTATCTGACTTTCGATTTTTCTGACGAACATTGACTTTTTTCAGAAGGCGATTTAATAATCGATTATTCATTTATTACAAAGTGACTATTTGTTAAGAATAATCACTGATATATTTTACTTAACAAATTGTTTCCATTCTTATAGCAATCATTTATTAACTTGAATAAACCTTGTTGCTTTTGATGGATAGGAATACTAAAAATTAATATTTGAAAAAACAAATATCTTTTTTTTCTGATTGTAGACCAAATCACGCATCGTTTTTTTTACTTTTACATGTGACATAAAGAAGAGAACAAACAATACTTTTTAACCTACAAAAAATAGACAATGAAAACACGAATCGTGGTCTCTGCACTAAGCTATTTATATATCTATATATAATATATGTATATAATAATATACGCCATAGAAAAACAAACAGAAAATAAAAAAAAAAGTATGAATACAAATGTTTTTTTGTTTTGGTTTTTCTTCATCATCAAGATTATTTTAGTGTTTTCATCGCCCAGATTGTAGACAAGAAAAAAAAAACAGAACGAAACTATATACAATAAAATAATAACAAATTCTTATTGATTTGTATTATCGGACAATATGTCGGTAAAAAAGAAAATCATGACAGCCAATTTTGATTACTGTTCCTTGTTCAATTTGAGCAGATCCATCCCAAGATGAATGATAATATGATTTAGTTAAACAATAACATTTTGGTAAACTCTCATTCTCTTGTTTATTATTATTATTATCAGTTATGATATTTAAACCATAACGAAGATCATTAACAATTGTTCCATATTCACTATAATTTAATAATTCAAATAAATTATTTTTTCTATCATAATATAAACAAGCATGTCGTTCAGAAATATATTGACATGTATGAGAATGATTAAAATTTTTTAAACATATATCATTTAATGAAGATGAACCAAACCAAATAACATATTTACGAATATAAATAACATTTTGTGATTGTAAATGAATAAGAGCAGCATGAGATAAATGAAATTGTGAAAGATCAATCAAATGTGAAAATGTATTTGTTAATGATGTTCTAAAAAAAAAAACAAATATTAGACTAAATTAACAATGATATAAAAAAGAAAAAATTACGTACGATATTTGTTTTTGTTCTAATAATTCTTCATCACTAGTCGAAATAAGAATATCGCAATTATTTATTTTATTTTTTTTACATTCATCTAATGTACAATTAGGTTCATTTAAAGCTTGTAATAATGTATCAATTCTATTAAAAGTATTACATTTTTCTTTTGATAAATATTCTGTTTGATAATCATTCTTAATGAATGATTTGTCTATGGATGAAAATTCATAAATATGATTATTAACAATATGATCAAGTATGGCTTGTAATATATCCCATACACATGGATCATATGCAAATGAAGTTTGATTGAAAACGAGATTAGTCTAAAATAAACCAAATAAACTTTTGTTTGTAATGAATTTTTTATAAAATTAGAATGAGAAATATATAAAAGAGAAAATGATAGTAGACAACTTATTGATAAGAAATCGGACGGTAATATTACCAAAAATAGTAAGAGTAGCCTGAATGTTATAGTAAAAATAGAAAAATTTTAGTAGATACCTGTATAATTTTCTCTTCTGTTTCTTCTTTTATATCAATAATTTTAGATTTACAAATGTTTTGTTGTTTCGTATTTGCTTTAAAATAAAAATCTTCAATAGTTTTAGGTATTTGACTTATATTAATACGTTCGAATTGATAATTATTTATTTTATTTGATAATAAATTATCTTTAGTTTGTTTTATATGAGTAAATTCTTGTAAAATAATATTTTCTTCCATTTGTGAATATTGATGATAAATTTTTACTCGTTCACTTGTAGAAAATTGATTTTTTTTTGTTAAATAATGATCTAAAATTGGTTCAATATGATTTGGACACATCCATTCTTCATTTAATAATGGTAATGTTGTCATTTGTGGTGTTAAACAATCTAAATGATATGTTAATGAACAATAATCACAATGTATTGATGGTCCTTGTATTAAAGAAGATTTTCGACATATAAAACAATATTTTTGATTATGATTATAGATTGAATCATTTAATATTAATGATGGACCATGAAATTCTTCTGGTTGACATGAAAAGAAAAAACGATGTAATGTATCTAAATGAGTATTAGAAATTTTTATTGAATTATCTATAGGAAATTTTATTGATGATGAATAAATTCGTTTTCGTTTGAGATTCGATGAAGATAATGATAAAGATTTATTTTTTTCATTATTAGTAGTTATTGCACGAAATTTGATTTCGCCTGATGGTTGTATCAACGATTGACCATTTGATGCTAAATAGATAAAAATCTCTATTCATAAGTATAAGCATAAATAAATCGACAATGATAACAGTTAGTGACTTGTAAGTTTCAGTATTTATAAGAATAAAACTTCAGACGTCTTTTTACGTGATACAATATAAGGAAATTTGCAAAATAATCTATAAAAATGGTGTTCCATACTAATGTAATTTTAATTTTGATATGTACTTCCGGTCTATAGCTCAAGGCATGATTCAATTGGTTACCTTTGCTGATTTCAATGCAGAAAAAAAATTAAATTGCATACCTGTTTGGCTGAATTGTATAGAGTTCTGCTTTATTTTTTTAAAATGAATGTTTTTCTGAAATAGAACACTGTTTTCATGAATGTTTTACGAAAATGATCGATGTTAAAGTGATTTTATTTTTTATAATGTCAGATAAAAAGACGTCTACTCCTCTTTAATTTCAAGGTGTGAAGTTCGAATCAGTAAAGACCGGTTCCAACTCTTCAAGAGCGAACATGAGAAATTATCAAATTAGCAGGATAACAGTCGTAAGTAATTCATTATTTTTTGAGCTTATGTGATGGGTAAATAGGGTATAGGTGAAGAGAGGACAGACTTACAGTCCATATCTTATATAACGAATGTCCATTTCCATGACTAAAGTCAATATTTCTTTTGCTTGTGTTTTATATTCAAAAGTTTCTTGTACTAAGCGAGAATATCTATCGTACTGAACTTCTGTTATACAGCTATATAATCAAATTAAATTAATGCTATGCAGTTTCGATACACGACTTAGAAGTAAAATATGTTGCGAGACTTTTATCGTCAACTGTAGATTTAACATGACTATGAACAGTCCTAGAGAAAAAAAAGATTTCGTTCCCGTTTATCTCTATTCTTACATTTTTTAAGATTATTAAAATGTTATTAATAGATACTATGAATATTTTATAAATACCTGTTGGTAATTTTAATTGTCCTAATTTTGAATGATATTGTTGAGTTTGTTTTGAAGAATTACCATGTAAATTTTTTTTTGGATTAAATGAAAATGGTAGAATTATTTTTTGTTGTTTATTTTTATTGATGAAATCTTCTTGTGTTTTTGTTATAGTTCGACAATTTTCACAAAAATAAGAATCTTTTGAAATATCTTCTTTTGATAACGATGGATTAATACAAAGAAGATGAAATGTTGCCGAACATGTATTACATGAGATCATTTCACCAAAACATTCACCACATGCATTACAAAACTCGTTATTAATCATATGATGATGATGAATATCAATTTCATTTTTATTGGATGATGTTGATGTAATGTATTCTAAATCTGAATGTGAATATGGTTTTAGTTTTTTTGTTGAATTATTATCATTGGAATCACTATGTATACGACGTTTCTTTTTTACATCATTTGTTTTTTGATTTTTATTAAAACCTTTCATTGATCGTGCCTCATCTATCGTTATTGATGTAATATTTTTTGATTTTAATCTTTTACTTATTGTTATACTATTATTATCGTTTGCATTTGATTGACATTTTGCAGTGTCTACAAAACAAAAGAAAACAAACTGATCATTGATTTTCAATGAAAATTTCCATTCAGTAGTACTCAGGTGTATAGTGAGAAAAAAATTCTTAAGAGTTTACTGATAGGACTGACCGTGAGTCTCGATATTACTTTAATAGACTGCAAGGATAACATTCGACAAATGCAGTGAAATTAGTAGAACCGAAATTGAATCTATTATAAGAAAGAACTGAAGTTGTTTCATCGAGTATATGGTTCAGTACGAGAATATGGCATTGTATAGTCATACGAAGATGATTCGTCTATGTAGTGCTTTTTATTCTGCTATTGCTAAATTAAATCAACTAAAAATCTCAACAAACATTCGAAATTATTTTTCGATAAAACTAAGCATTTCTTTGTACAAATGAGGATCTAACTGTTTTTTTATCACATTCCGAACACTATTTCATTGTTTTAAAAAATGGAAATAACATTAGCATCATCGAAGGGTCAGCTGGAGTTTGATATTAGTGAATCACCTTTCTTTTATTGTCAAAAGCTCAAAAACTACGCTTTTTTAGTAAATCTTGATAAAAAGTCGAATAATGCTTTACTGATAATTTTTTCGAGAAACAAACTTCACCATCGTGAAGTATGCTGTCTTATCTACGCATATACATGAAACTATTTTGTTTATAACAAGAAAATTTCTAGAAATATAAACTTTTTTGAATAGATAAAATCAAAGGACTTCTTTTGAATGAATGCTCTACCACGACTTTCTATTCTTATAAAGTTGTCAAAATTCAAGCAGATGAAATAAAAAGTTTAGAATGACTCGTTTGGGATTATCTCATGACTAGTGATGCTAAGATTTGCAGACAGTACCTCTCATGAATACGTAGCAGGAATAGACGAGATTATGTCATGCTCTAACTTGAAGTTATGCTCTTTGCACTTATGTTTCTTTTCTTCCCGAGTGAACACATTTCGAGAGTACACAATCGTTTCTTCAATATTCTTTCGACACGAATAGAAACATAAGATAGTGCAACAGGCACTGCCTAGGTAAGCGCTAGACAGCGCTGTCTATTCCTGATGGATGGCAGCTTATCTGGCAATAGTCTCTAAAAAAAGAAAACAATATTTCTACGTTTATAGCATGCTCCTAGATAGAGAGAGTCCAATGTATCCTACTTGTGCATTGCTTATATATTGTGCCTTAATGAATTACATATCTAAACAGATTAATAACAAAAAACTTATTATTTTTTTTGTGTTAGTTATTCAATCAATGAGTTCATAATCAATCAGATATTATTAGTTATTGGTTAGTATCACTTATAGAATTTTTCTTTTATATTGGTCATACTTTGTTTTGTTTCATATAATATTTTTAAACATAAACAAAATCATAAAACAAACCATTTATGTCATAATTTGTTATTGATGATGAAGATGAATGAGAATCATTTGTATTAGTCATCATTTATTATCCATATTAAAGACACGGTAGAGATTGTTTTCAATAATCTAAAATTAAGCGAACAAAAAAAATCAAACATACCATCGTTAAATTTCAGTAAATACAAATACAACAATAATAAATGAAAATAAATAATAAAGAAACAAAAACAAAACAAGAACATGCCATTTGAACATATGAAATAATGATTTTTCTTTTTTCTTTTTTTTTTTTTTTTATAGATCATCAATTTGAAAGACATTTCTAATCGAATAAGTCATTGTTGTTCACTGTTTATATATACAAAACAAGGAAACAAAAAAGGAACAAGAATAAAACAAATATGTATCAGCTACGTTGATTCGAACTATTTAATAAAAGATGTGATGGTCCATAGATTTCAATTTCTTCTTCTTCATCATCATCATCATCATGCTCTGTTAAAATTGATTTATGATAACCATTTGTATCAATTGTTTTATTTAATATATCACCGTCATGTTTAATTGATGGTAGTTTTGGTAAATTTATAAATGTTTTAGGAGAAAAAAGTATGTAGGAAATAATTAATATACTTAAAAAATTAACTAATGTAACAACACTTATTATTAATTTAACTCGATATAGTTCTGTAACAAATGACATTATAAATATTAATGCTGTTGGATAAATAAACCAAACCTTTTTTTTTTTGTTTTTAAAATAATTAATAAAAAAAAAAATAAATTTTTTTTGTTCAGTTGTAAAAATTTTTCTTACCATACAACATGCACCAAAATGATGAAAAAATTGTAGTTTTTCTAAATTTTTTTCTTCTTGTGTTGTTTCTTTTAATTCAAATACAAATAAAAGCATTACAAAACAACGAAATAATAATGAAAAATAATTTGCAAATGTTTGATAATGATTTGAATCCGTTACTGGATTTATCGTCATTATACTTAATATATAACACGAACAACAAGCTATTGTATAGAGAACAAATAACATAACTGTCTTTTTTCCTTGACGAAGGACCGGTGTATTTACTAACCAACCTATAATTAAATATAAAACAATAGTTTATTATAGTGTAATTTCTTTGAAGTGCACATAGAAGTTCTTTAGCATCAATTAGTAGTATTAATTCCATTCAAAATTTGCATAAAAGCTCGATAGAGAAGAGATAATCAAATACAGAAGAATCACTAAGGACTTTCCAGCGTCCATATCACTTGAGCATAAATGTTATTCACATTATACGAACTGAAATGTCTCTGAACTCTCAACAATGGTTTTTTCGTCGAAATACATCAGATTTAGAAAATGCCTTGGGTAGAATTTTTGTCAAGATATTGTTTTCGTAATTCTCACTTGAGTGACCAAATGAGAGTATCTCTGATCGATCTATTCATACTATTGATATAACCTGAGAATTCCGTCAAACTTGAATCCGACAGCAATTGTTCACCTCTCGTTTTATCAGTGGCTTTCTTTAGAATCACGATGAAGATAAGAGATTAACATTATTGTTATTCTAGCTATTTATTTAAATGACCAATAAGCCTGTTATATGTATCTATTATATCTATTGCAGGTTTTTCACGCACTATTATAGATTTTGGCAAGTTCAGGGACACTGGTATTGATTATATGACGACTATGACAAATCAGTGAATCACAATCCAACGTCCTTGACATCGTAAAAATACAAACATTTATGTGCGCAAACATTCAGCGCTGCACTCTATAGAACATTCATAAACCCTTCGCAGTCATTCGTCTACCACGGAGGGTTTGAAATATTGTTGTTCATGTTGTTTAGGAATTGTAAGAAAGTAGACAGTCATGTTGACCTCAGTTTTAACACGCATATATTCAATGTCCGTTGCTATCAGAAGAAGTTGGAGACAAGATTAGCAATGACAGAGCGGATGATAAGAACTTTACCTCTCCAAAAATTTCGTTGGAAACCACGAGAGAAAAACAATCTTTTTCTGTTTCTGACAGACATTTATATGAAGACAGTTTCTGTCGAATTCTTATTCTCTTTCACCCATACGAACAATCGGAAATCCTGATGAATGTGAACAACAAAAGTCTGACATCAAAACTTTTTTTCCTTCGAAAAAATATAATGAGAGTTTTATAAAATAATATATCAATCATTTACCTTTAGCAATAAATAAAAGTAAAAGAATAAGAATTGATTCACCAATTATTGTAATTAAATTTCCAATATGTATTAATATATAAACTCCAATACCATTATATGCAAAAATAAAATAATGCAATAAATTTAAAGTATTACCAATAAAGAATAATAATTGAAATAAAAAGTATGATATTAATATTGGATGCTTTATATCTATTAATGAACGCATTTTAATTATAAGGAAAGGTAATGGAATAAATAAATAGAATAATATACAAATAGAATATACTTCAACAAGATCATAGATATCAAATGAAAAATGATATTCAAAACGATTATCACGAGTTTTAGCTTCTGGATTACCATTAACAATCCATATATCATAATTTATTTGAATATTATCATCGACTTTTTCCCAATGACACGTTGTTGGATCCCAATAACATGATATTAAACTTAAATACCAAAATCTATAATGAACAAGTTTCATATTTCAATCATAACCTTTTATTGAAACAAAAAAAAAATTATCGTTTTTTCTATCGATTATATAACGATAAGGATTTTTTTTTTTGTACTCCTTGTTAAAAAATCTTAAAATTCATACAACATTTAAAAAAATGTATTGACTTGAGAAATAATGTCTTGTTTACAAGAATATGTTCAACGGAGAGAAACTCCAAACAATATAATCTATTTAGTTAGGAATTAACTAACTATATTCCGTTTATGTATATATATATATCCTTCTGAAGGTTTATCCATTAAAAACATTCAAACGTCTCTCTAGCATAGAAATCCACGGGTGTTGTATTATGATGAAATAAGTAAATGTCGAAAGTAATGATGCCGAGGTTTGGATAAAAAACAAAGAGATCTACACCCATATCTACAACTTTTTTGGTAGATTCTCGAAATGTATCTTCAGGTGAAAGAGATTTGTTCGATGTTTTGTCGACAATAAGCTTTTCAACCATTTTTACGTTTCGACATTTAATCACGTATTCATCTATTACCCAAGCAGACAAAATTTTTGAAAAACGCGTTTAAACGCACAATCGGGAACCGCAATTGTCAGGCATTAACATTCATTAAAAAAATGCTCGAAAACGCGTATATTGGCGTTTTTTGTAACATTTTTGGCGTCAAAACGGCGAAAACTTCATGTTTTGAGCGTTAAAACGTGCTATTATTGTAGAATTGAAAAACAAGGCGTTTTAACGTTCAAGAACTGAGATTTTTGCCGTTTTGACGCCCAAAATATTATAAAAAACTCCAATACACGCGTTTTCGTGCGTTTTTTTAATGAACGTTAATGTCTGACAATCGCGGTTCCCGATTGTGCGTTTAAACGCGTTTTTCAAAAGTTTGTCTGCTTGGGTATAGCCAAGCAAGTAACCTTTCAAAGATCTCTTGCTGTGTTTCATTTACTTTCATAGTTTATGATTAAAAGAGTTTCTCTAAAAACTGAAGTGAGTAGGAAAAAAAATTTTTTTAACTAAAACTAGGCATGTTTTGATGTAATTATACAAAAATTCTACTTTTTACGAAAGAGGAAGTAACCAAGGTGACATAAACTATTATGAGAAGAAGTTTACCACAATTCTTTTTTTTCTCACATCGAACAACAATTGTTTATATTTTTCTTTGATTTAATCCCATTAATGTCATTAGTTTTTGACGACAAATTTAAGAAAAAACAAAAAAAAACAAGACAGTATTTCTATCTCAATATCTAAAAATAAAACTAAAACAAACCTTGGTTGATTAATATCACGTATTTTAAATGTAAATTGTTGATTATGTATAACATTATGTGGTTGATCTTCATCAGAACATAATTGATCTTGTTGGCATGGTATATGACGCCAAAAATCTTCTGTACCATCTACATTACATTGTCTATGAAATGCAATTGTTTGAATTTGTTTCATCATATCAGAACATGATTGCATACGTTGTTTTTTATATAATGGTAAAAAATAATCATAATCAAGAATAAGAAATAAAATTGTTTTTGTTAATGAACAATTATTTATAGGACAATCAAGTGTTATATTACCATATATATAACCAAATGTATCATCTGGACGATGTTGATCAGTTTTTTGTATACCAAATTTCGTTAATAAACGAAAAAATTCTTTTGTTGAATAATGTCCATGTAAATGAAGTGCGAAAATAAATGATTGAGTAAAAGAATAAATTAAAATAAAAGAGATTATCAATCGTATTAACATGGAAATAAAAGTTTCAGATCAATTTACTTGTTTGTTTTTTTTTTTTCTTATTCTAAAAGAAATCATAGAGAACATAATGAAGAGAGCTTAATAATCTTTATATTTATATGTAATAAACAAGCGGAAAACACATAGACAAGACAAAAAAAAAGTAATATTATTTGATTGGACTAAATAGAGGTCACTCAAATGCAATGTTTAAATAAAATGAATAATTAGAAAAATTATTTTTTGAAACAAGAAAAATCATAATTTTTTTTAATGAAAAAAATTTTTTATTGAGAAATATTTAAATTAAAATTCATGATTGATTCATGTATGAGAGAACATTTGGTAAATGAAAGAAGATTTTGTTTGGTTGTTAAAGAATCAATAAGAAAAATACTGACGAGTGTTCGTAGTTATTTATTTATTTCTTTTCGAGTCAATAGGTGGAATAGAATAGATAGATGAAAGTAAACTTTTTCTTTTTTTTCAAAATGATAGAATTCAAAATAATCAATAGGATATTTATTATTGTTTTACAGAAGAAATTTTAGTTGAGTTACTTTTCTCAGCTTAGTTTATTTCAAATTTCTTGTCTTATGTTATCACAATCCATATTAAATTATAATATTTCTCTTTTTAGATACTGTTTTCGATCAATTAAATAACAGCAAAAAAAAAAGAAGATGCCAAAAACGGCCCTTGCACGCAAGAAAGCTGTAAGTTCATTTAATGAAAATTATAATTACGATAAAAAAAAACTTTTTTTTTCTATATTTTAGTTACAACCAATTGGTTTTCGTGCCCAACCAATAATTATTGATGGTCGTGGCCACTTAATTGGTCGTTTAGCCGCAACAGTCGCTAAAACAATCTTACAAGGTCATAATGTAGTCGTTGTCCGATGCGAAGGTCTTAATATTAGTGGATCATTTTATCGTAATAAACTTAAATATTTGGAATTTCTTCGAAAACGTTGTAACATTAATCCATCACGTGGTCCATTTCATTTTCGTGCACCATCAAAAATCTTTACACGTATTGTACGTGGTATGGTACCACACAAAACTGAACGTGGTAAACATGCCTTAGTACGTCTACGTGCTTTTGAAGGTATTCCAACACCATATGATAAAAAGAAACGTTTAGTTGTTCCAAGTGCTTTACGTACATTACGACTTAAACCACGTCGTCGTTTTACTGAACTTGGTCGATTATCAAGTGAAGTTGGTTGGCAATATCAAACTGTTGTTGCAACATTAGAAAAAAAACGAAAAATAAAGGCTAAACATTATCATTTACGACAACGTGAATTGAAAAAACTTAAAACAGATGCAACAAAAAAAATAGCTTCAAAACCACAAGTTGCTAAACATCTTGCTGTACTTCAACAGTATGGTTATCAACTTTAAAAGAACGGTTATTGTTTCCGTTATTGTTTTTTTGTTTTTTGTTGTTTTTTTGATTTTATTTGTCATCTGTGATTGTAATTAAACAACAATTAACAAAAAGAAAATTCATACATATGAAAAAAGAATAAACAATAAATATCGAGGACATACTCATAAAAAATGTATTAAGTTCGAATGCTTATTGTCTTTTTTTGGCTTTGTCATTCAACTTGTAATACTTGGTATTAGACTGACTTGGTTTCATAGGATATGCCAAAAGTCTTTTTTTTTTGCTTAGCTCTTCTAACAGATATACTTTCAATGTCAATAATACTCAAACATATATATATATATAGAATTAGGTACAGAAGGACCCTTTCAGATAAGATGACTACTCTTCATCTGAAAAGCTACTAATATTGTTTTGTAGAGCAAGTCGTGACGTATCAAATAGTATGTCGGAAATTGTTTTTTATGTCAAATTTTATTGTTCTAAGAAGTCACATACTCATTAAAGGATATTATAACAATTGTAGATGATATGAACGTATATTACGTCTTAGTATGTATCGAAATCGACCTATATTGATTTTGTTTAAAGTTACTTCTATACAGTTTAGTTTTCAATCGTTTGTATCTGATTATACTTATAATAGCTTTCTTCATGTCCAAAGACTTTATGACTTTTATTATGTTCTTTAATTTTTGACTGTTATGATGTTTTTAATTCTTCGATACTACTCCTGAGGAGAGGTGATCAAAAGCGTTCTAAGAATCTTTGTAATTAAATCAATTGATTGGTCTCTAAATTAAAGTGTCTAATAGTTAGGTCGGCTAATCAATGTTACAAAAGGTCAATTTTTCAAAATTTAAGTACAGAAAAATATATGAGTTTTTCAGCCTTACGGAATCAAAAGTGGTCTTTTTAAAACATTCATTGACCGATTTGGCCATCAGGCATTTCAAATGACAGGACAATCAATTGATATAATTACAAAGTTTCATAGTACACAGTTACTTAGAAAGTTTCATGGTTGATCGTCTCTGTCTTCAGAAGTAGTACGGAAGAATTAAAAACATTATAAAAACCAAAATTTACAGAACCTAATAAAAGTCATAAGATTTTGAATGTGAAGAAAGCTATTATGAGTATTATTAAATATATACAATTGAAGACAAGACAAAACTATATTGGAAGTAGTTTTCAATGAAATTTGATACAGGTTGGTTGGGGAACATATTGAGTTCTAATAATAGATCATATTACTCACAATTGCTATAATATCGTTTAATCGGTGTTTGATTTCTCAGAACATTAAAACTGATACGTTACGAGTTGTTGTACAAAACGGTATTAGTAGTTTTTCGAATGAAGAATGGTCTTCTTATCCGACAGAATCCTTTTGGGACTCGTGCTACAGTATGCTCCACATGTATTTTGGATTTTCACAATAACACTGTCAAAGTATATTTTTACATAACTAGTCAATTGGTTTAACTTACAAGAAAAGTCGTGCTCGTTGAGTATGAGCATGAGGAAACTGAACACACCTTCTGATCAGTACAGTAATCAGTATGTTTCATTGATTTTAATAGATTATTTTTCAACATCTCAGATAATGTATGCTTTGTCAACTTATTGATGATTGAAAATAGTTTCATATTTGATTGGCTCGCCATTGATTCAATAGATTTGAAGAGACGAATTTCTATCTTATACCATTATGAGTTAATAAAAGAAATTTAGCTTGTCAATAGTGGTCTAGCGCTAATTTTGAAATTATATTAGTAAAGAAATAAAAGATTACTCTTTAACGTCTGAATCTTCGTCATGAAAACGCAAGATCACAGAAAGCCCGACATGTCAATAGATTTTTGTGGCAAAATATCATATGAAACTACATCCAAATCTATCATATTCGTCAGATCTCAACTACATGGAATTGAATTCCTGATGAAAAAGACTTTTGAAACGCCCCTTGTAAGTTTATTGAGTGTATTTGATTAGGTAAAGAAAACAATTTTTCAATATAAAGCCTCCATGAATTTTTCACTCATACTGAATCATTCAGTATGATATCACTCTTACAGTAATAAATAGTATACATTGGTCAGTAATTACAAAACATAGTCGACTTCAGTCTACTGATTTATGAAACTAAATATGGCTTCAAATATTTTTTCGTTACGTGATATATTCTTTCATTCACTAGAAAAGGTCTCGAAGTATAAATCTTTATTTTCAATCGGGTTTGTTTCAATGTGTAGAGCTCAATGAATTGTTCACAATGGTATATTTCCACAATCACTATAAATACAAGTCAAAACAATGTCTATATTTGGAATATTTCAATATCATTATCATTGTGAATGTTCATCTATTTAGAACATATCGATCATATTTCGATTACTAGCCTTGTCGATTGCATTTATTTAAGTAAACATACACTCTTGAAGTATTCGAAATAATGACAAGTAAACTGACGTAAAAATTCTAACTTCCGAAATCATAGATTATACTCTTTTTTCTGTAGTCAAGATCGATCTAACTTCTTGGAAAGACGTCAATGCTGTTTGATTGCAAAAGGTCTTCAGTAGTCAACAGAAAATCGAATATTAATTACACAATAGTGCTTGGATGTTTTCTGTTTAATTGGTGCGACATGGATTTATTAAATTATATTCTAGTGGATTAAACGAGTTACAAAACAACAGGCATCTTAGATGATAAAAATATTTTATCTTTTACTCTGAATGTTATTTTACAGTTGCAAATATAACTTGTCATCGATCATTTTATTACAACTTCCGTTCCACATTGTTTCAAAAGCAACATAAAATATCAGTAAATAACACATACATTCTATTTCGTTTGTTTTACTATCGAATTAATAGTTCATTTTACAATAACTTCCATGTTTTTAAAATATATAAAAAATATTAAATAAACATTTACTTCTAATAAAATCCATGCATTATCTTTAAGAAATAATAAAACTTTTTATTCCAGTTTTTGTTTCTTGATTGAGACATGTATGTTTTCAAAAAAAAATATATACATATGTGTATAAAGTATACTGTTTTTCACGTATTTAAACACATTACTAGTGTACTAGAATCAGAATTTTGTGTTCTGTTAAAAAATATGCTTAGAACTTATCTGTGATTTAACCTGGGATGGAACTTGTTCGGTACATGCCATAAAATTTTCTCAAATATATTAGAAAATAATTCTCCATAAAGCGATAGATTTTTGTAAATTGTAAAAGTGTAGTCAAAGCTTTTTAAAAAGTCTATTTTTTTCGATTTTAACAGATTAATTAAAAATCTTTATTCTTGCGTCATTTTGGAGAATAGAGACCAACTTCAAGTACTATACGTTCACAGATCTTATTTGCTCTACACTTATCTTCAGAAGAATGAAATTTTTGCTTCTGCGTAAATTCTTGTTGTGTTCTATCAGGACTTACTTATAGCTCAAAAGTCAAGCGTTACAGGAAAGTTCTAAACATATATTCTGAAAGAGCACAAAATTTTGATTCTAATACATTATCAATTCACTTGAGTACTTATTTTGTCTGAAAACTTAATTCTTCCTTTAAAAATTCAATAAACAATCACATCTATCAATAAGATCAAACATTGACAGATGTCAAGACCTTGTGTTATTTGTTCTATTATCAATGCTATTAATCAATTAACACATTTATGTGAAAGACATTCTTAGTATACAAAAAAAGAAAACATTCAATTATACATCTCAGTAACAATATTTGAGAATTTGAAATTATGATTAATTAATAGAAAAAAAGATAAATAATTATTTCCTTAGTTAGAGAAAACTTTCTAACGTAATGTTATTTTTCTTATTGTTCATTATTCTTTCTCTAGGTAATTTATATCACATTTTTCAACGTTAAATATTGACAATGAAGCGGAAAATAATTGTTGTTCCATTCACATTTACTGATCGATCGGTGTGATGACATTTATCAATTGAATGAAAACTATTCGATAGAGTTGTAAAAGTTGATACTTTCATTATTTCTTTTGATAAAAGCACTTTAGATCTAAAACTATGGTTATCTAAATGAGGATTTCTTTTGAACTAAAGGTGTTAATATTTTATATCGAAAGTGTTTCTGATGTTCATTATATCATCTCATGAATCAAATTTATCCTTCAGCTAATCTTTGCTAACAATCTTAATAATTTATTATCACCATCGAAATCGGATTGATCTTATTGGCTTTATTCGGATTATTTATTCTATAGGCCAAATGTTTCTTTGTCTTATGTATACATTTATGTCGTTTGCATGTATGCACATGTATACAACTATTACTATAATCACTACCACTTCATTGAACTGGCGCTATTGTTTTTGTCTTTTCAATAAGCGAACGATCAAATAATGATAAGTATTGTTGAGAGATATGTTTTCTTTTTATTTGTCTCAAAAATGAAATTGATGTAAGTATGAGAGTACAGTGCTATTGATTGTTTGTTTGAATATCTAATATTAAAACAAATACTAAAGAAGATTTTGGTAAACAATCAATTGATTTAACACCTCACACTCGTATTTCATCAAAATAAACATCAATGAACGGAAGCTTTTGTATATAGAACGGTCGAAAGGTCGTATCATTTTATGAAACTAAAGCACGTAGACATTTTTCATCATTACTCTTTTTTTTTCTCCTTTCTATCCTTTTTTTCTTTTCTTCATGTTCTCGTTCATCTTTATTCACTATATCTGACTGAGATGCCAGATTGTTTCTGTTCTTTATTTATATTATACTCTAAAAGTTATTCATCCTATTATCTTCTTATTCTAGATGCCAACAGAAATGATAACGGATGATAATAATAATAATAATAATAATAATAGTTTCTTTCAAGAAATTGATGATCAAGATTGGATATTAGAAAAACCAATATCAGTATTTGCTTTGGATCCAGCTGATCGACGTGTTTTAAAAGTAGCTGATCAACGTGATTCTGTACAAAAGAAAACATTTACAAAATGGATGAATTTTTATTTGTTACAAAAAAATGGTTTATATGTTGATGATTTATATCTTGATTTAAGAGATGGACATTTACTATTATCTTTATTAGAAATATTTACTAATCAAACAATTGTAAGTTTATTATTATTTTGTTCGTTGGCAGAAAAAAATTTTCTCAAAAAGAAATCTTTTTTTTTTTCTATGTAGCCCCGTGAACGAGGTACATCAAAATTTCATGCATTAAGAAATATTGAAAGATGTCTTCAATGTCTTGAACAAGATCATAATGTGAGTAAGAAGAAATATCACAGATGTTTTTGTTTATTTAATGGAGATTTAGATTCGTCTGGTAAATATTCGTCCTGAAGAATTAGTTAATGGTAATCCAAAATTGACATTAGGTCTCATTTGGCGTATTATTCTTCATTTTCAAGTAAGTTAATTAGGCTAGCAATCAAGAACAATAAAAAAAAAGAATAGAGGTCAGAGAAATTTATGAATAGATAGTTAAGATTATTTATCAAATATAGCACGTCCTAATGTTCATTTATATTAGGATTGATGAGGGAATATATCCAGGTGTCAGATGTCATTCAACTTCTTAACATGGCTACGTGTAGGTTCCTATGAGAGAAACAATGGAAGGGGTCGTACATCAGTAAAGAGCTTTGGATACATGTGGATCAAATTAAAGCTCTTACTATCGAACTAACAAATGAAAAATATGAGGTACCTATTGTATGTATCAACCGAGATAATGAAGTTTTTAGGTACTCATAGTAAATGTACAATATCCATAAGTGAAAATTTTAACACTATATATTTTCCTATTTTTTGTAATGATTGGATAGAATTCATCAATTTGCATAAGAAAAAGTAGGTTTCAAACTTAAAAAAATTAATGAAAAAAAAGTTCAAGGTGCTACTATTGTCAAATATAACGAAAATCAATCTAAAAACTCTTATTTTTAAGCTTGAAGCACACTTTTCCTATGCAACTCGATGAGTTCTATTCAACCACCATGGAAACAGTAAATGAATAATGTTAAAATTTTGACTTATGGATATCTGATACGTACTGTAAATACTTAAAAACCCGCTTATTTCACTCAATGCATGCCATTGGTAGCTCAAAACCTTTCATTGTAGGAAAAGCTTAAAAGAGTTCGAGTTCATGATTTATTCATGAAGATTTGTGACTGTTTTAATGAAATTTTGCCTATTGACAGGCTTTAAATATAATTAGATAGTTACTAAAGCTTCAACGATAATAAACATGTCTGTCTCGAGATATTGAACTTCTAAAAAGCAGTGAAACTTTCAGCACTATCTTATGACTATCAACCATATCTAAAGGCATAATTTCAGCTCGAAACTCCTTGTTTTGATTTTTTTGAGAATTCCTTGCTCTCATGAATGAATTAGTCTAGTAATAATTCATTCATTTGAACTCATACTGAACTCAGCAATGTCACGGTTAGGCTAGGAAAATCTTAAAAGAGTTTTTTCTCATAGACCTCTGAGAGCCTTGTTATGACCGTTTACACTAAATTTTCGCACATAAATCAGCATTATGACTCTCGAAACATTATGCGAGTTTCAGTGGACACAAAGATTCTTTTGTCGAATTATTAAATTTTCAATGAAACTCAATATTTGTGACGAGAGACTATTTGTTGGAAATTTAATATCTCAACAAAGGAACACTGTTTTTCATCTGAGATTTTCAGAATATTCTACGAGTCATTAGATCTATCTCTAGGCAAGATTTCAAGTTGAAAATTCAGTAAACGCGGTCATAACTCAGTTACAAAGGCTCATAGGCACGAATTCTTTTAAGCTTTTTTTTAATCATATCGAAACTTTCTTGTGTGTTCAATATGAGCTCAAACGCAGTGATTTATCTACTGGGTGGGCCGAGTGGGCGCCGCCCACCCGAAATTTCGACTCGCCCACTCGTGAAACGAAATCTAGATGAAACACTACTCAAATGACGAGTAGTTGTCACGTCAGTAAAAGTTTCATTAAAACAATCATAAATTTTCATTGATAAGTCCTAGATTCGAATCGTCCTACCTTATTTTTTGGTAATAGATCATATAATTTTAAGAGAGCATGACTTATCAAATTGATTGAGTTTGATTCTAAGATTTTCAGTTTTCAAATTTGAATTTTGAAAAATACACATTTTAATCCCTATTCAATCATTTTCTAAGGAAATTTTGTTCTTTTTTTTTATTCTTACAAATTAATTCTCATTCTAGTTTTCTGATCTAACAGTACCTTCATCTGATGAGAATGTTCCAATAAATTCTGAAGAAACAATACCATCTATTCCAATAAGCGAACCGTTACCATCATCTGAATCAATATCAATAAAAAATTCGTCTAAAAATTTATCCATCGATCAAGTACCATTAAATTATCGCAATATGTTACTAGTATGGGCTCGTCAACAATGTCAAGGTTATCCAGGAATTTATATTGAAGATTTTACACATTCATGGCGTAATGGTCGAGCATTTCTTGCTATACTTCATCGACAGAAGTTAGTTTTCGAACACGAAGTTTTTTTTTCCTATACAATCATTTTCTTATTTTTTAGTCCACATTTAATTGATATCAAACAAGCATATTGTCATTCAAATCGAGAAAATCTTACTCAAGCTTTTGAATTTGCACAAAAACATTATGGAATTACACAACTTATCGATCCGGAAGGTAAGTTTATCAACTCCAAAAAAACCAAACAAGACATTTGTTTTTTTTTTTTTTTCATCAATATTTAGATGTCGATACTGATGAACCTGATGAAAAGAGTATTTTATTATATATCGCCTATCTATATAAAGCTTGTCCAACAATACCAATGCATCCATTACGACAAGAACATGATCGAGTTTGTTTTTATTTTTGAATAAATATTTTATATAATTTTTTTCGTTTTTATTAGATACGACTTCAAGGTGAATTATCGTTGAGATATACAAATATTGCATCTGATCTTCTTAAATGGATAAAAAGAAAATTAGATCTTTTAAATCGTGAAGTCAAATTTAGAAATGTCGAAGAATTTCAAACATTTGAAAATAATTTACAAATAATAAAACATGATGAATTATCAAAATATAATCAATTATTACATCAATTACGATCGATTGATATTGAACTTAAGGTAAAAGAACATTAAATCTTGATAAGAAAGCTCCCACAATAATATAAGGAAACTGTTATCCTCTAGAAGATTTTTAAAAAATGTCAAATATGAAAAGTCATGTTGTTCTTCACCTAAGTATGAGATTGATTTGACTTTTGATAATAACAAAAAGTCGATATTGCTCATCCGTTTGTATATCCGGAGTGAACACTTCATTAAAAATTATCACAAACGAATTGTTTCTATCAATGGGTAGTTTTCAAATTGAATACTATGATTTGATATGCCGTTCTTCGCTCTACGAAACTCATCTATACCATTAATAAATTTTCTTTTCCCACTCAGAAATATATGGCTCAGACTGTGGTAGAAGTGGTAGTAGTGCAACTAACTCTTGATAATGTGATCGCTTTTTCTCTGCAACAAAAAGAAACATGCTTAAAAAATTGCGTCATTATTTCATTTACAAAATTTAATTATTGAAAAAGTTTCGAAAATCACCGAAATTAGGAATTTTCAGTAAAACATCTTCTTTTGAGTTCATGTCAGGCGCTTGTTCGACTATTTTCGTAAAACTCAATGCTTGAAGTGAAATTTTGTCATTAAAATTGAGTTCAGTATCAAAAACTGAATCGAATGGTATATATTTTTAAAAAGAAAAGTATTAAGAGGAAGTGCAGAAGTCTTCGCGTCGCAAAATATACTATTCAATTTAGTTTTTCATGCTCAACTCTATTTTAATGTCGAAATTTCATTTCAAGTACTAGTTTTTGCACAAATGGTTGAGTAAGAACTTGAAATTAATCGAAAATAGGATATTTTATAGAGTCCGTCGGATACGGATCCGATGAATTCTAATAGTTTGAGAAATGTATAACATGTGTTAATTACAGAATACAAATACATCATGTTTGAGAATGCTTCACGAATGTATGTTTTTTTTTTCTTGTTGCAAAGAAAAATTTGTCGCACTAGCGTTGTTTCTTCCACATTTTGAACTATCTATTTTTCTCATCGAAGAAACAGAATTGATCAAGTGTCTATATAAGTTTTGTAGATCGAAGAAAAGCTCATCAAACTGCAGTATCTAATAAGAAAAATATTCATAGATAGAAAAAAGTTGTTCGTGACAATTCGTAATGACGCGTCTACTCCGGATGCACAAACTGATGAGCAATATCGACTTCCTATCATCATCCATAAAAATCAAAGTCACTAAGTGGAGAATAACATGATGTTTCATGTTGTATATATATTTTTTAAAAAGCTTCTAAGAATTGGCAAAATTCCGATCTTATCGTGCGAAATTGTTTTGTATTTTTTAGACTTTACAATTCAATGAATCATTACAACCTGATATTGAATCAATAAATTTAGCTTGGAATGAACTTGAAATAGGTCTTCATCGAATTGAAAATGATCTTAAAAAATACAAAAAATTAATAATTGATTTAGATTTAATTGAACGTGATATAACAAATATTGAAATAAAAGTTTGTTAAAATTCATTTGTTTTTTTCTTACTAAAAAGTTTAAACATTATCTATTTTTATTTTAGTCAAAAAAATTTGATACTCTTTCAACAATGAATCATATGAATGAAATACAAATAAAATTAGATCAAATATTAAATCATTGCCAAACATTATTATTATCAAATGAACAAACTCAAAATCTTCTTGAACGTATTCATCAATTAAATTTACGTGTTAATATTCATTTAACTTTATCATCAACAATATCCAATGGTTTTCATTCAATATCAAAACCACAGGCAAGTAGATAAAGAAAATCTCATGTGGAATCGAATTTTTTTATTTATAATTAAAAAAAGAGTAGAGATTAATAAAAGTATTATTTTTGAGATTTTCTGACTGAGAAAATCGAACAATATTTCAAAAGCAACTAGCAATCGTACTCAATGCTCTTCCCGTCTATATCCGCCATTAGTATGGTATAACTCGATTTCTTCAAAATATAATTGAATATATAGAATTATAAAATCTTTATTGAAAGAAAAAAGCAAAGATGATGATTGCAATAAATGACAGTTTCGAAAGGCTGATGTTGACAAACTTCAGACATCATCAATCATAGCTTAATTCAGCTTGAGATAGAAAAAAAAAAAGCTTAAAGGAAATTTCTTCTTGGTATTCTTAACCATATTGATCTAATAATGTTGAACCGGCCAAAAAGTTTCATAAGAAAAAAAAAACTCAATCAACAAATATATGTCAGAAGCATCATATATATGTCACTTGTTTGAAGTTCCAGAAGAGTATTATTGAAATATATGATTAAGTATGGTAATTATTCTACTAGTGCAAATATTTTTAAATTAAGTTTAGTTCAAGTGAAATAATATTATAAAGAATTAGTTTAATTCATAATGATAGATCTCAAATTTATTCTATAATAATAAATTTCATCGAATGGCATTTTACTTCATTTGAATAATTAAATAACTTGCTCGATTAGAAAATATGTCAATAAAATTAATCTGTTTTTTATCAAAATTAAATCATGTCTGAAATATCTATTCTTTCAATAGTTAAGATTAAATTATTGTTCTTATTGCTTCTGTTAGAATAAACATAAAGATATACAATTATCTAAGAGAACAAACACATGTACGAAACAGAAAGGATACAATCGTCCAAAAGCAAAAAAACAAATCTGAATCAAGGAAATCAATAAAAATCAAGGTATTTCAGTAGTATATTTAGCAGCTCAATAGAATAACAAACTTTTCGAGCTGATATCCTCAAGGTTATTGTTTGTGGAAAATTTTGGATGTGTCATAAAGACCTAAACACAAGAATAGTCCTTGATGTTTATTACTGATGACATCATACAAACAAAATAGCATACATTTTACCATAAAAGAAACAAAAAAAGCAATAGAGATTGTTTTGTAAGATATTTGTCTTCGGAATGAATAACCTTCAGACTGTTTGGTTATCTTTCTTTGAAAAATTAAGAATAATTAATTAATATTTTCTGCTTCATCTATAGAATTTTTTCCTCTTATCATTGTATTTTAATAAAGAAAGACAAATAGAATTGTATATTAGAGAAAATTATTGGAAGATATCGAATAATCAAAATTTTAGTAAAATTTTGTTTCCAATTTATTCAGTATCGTTAAATAGAATACATCGAGTTATTTATGAAAAATTACTTTTCCAATTTTGGGAAACAAGTTTTTCTTTGTAATATTCGACAGATAACGAGATTCTAAATATCATGATTAGGGTCACTGGTTATCACAGCTGTATAAATATTTGTTGTTTGTAGAAAATTGTAATGGTTATTGCTGAATTCTGCAAAGAAAGTAGACAAACGAAATCTCATGTACATACAGTTTTTCTTAGGTCAATTTTATCGATAGAATTAGGATATTACCCTTATAATGTTCTATAAAAAAAGTAATATTTACATATCTGTGATAATGAGTAATTCTAATAATGATATTTAGAATTTAGTTGCTTTTCCAACAAAACTTTACTTCCATAGATAACTCGATGTTCTCTATTCAATTACATGAAATAAATCGAAATCGAAAATTTTCGAAGTATTTTTGAATTCTCAACACCTTAATAATACAAATAAGAACATAATTCATAATATAATGGTGATAAATATTATTGTAATGTCTTATTAATCATTTTGAAATATTCATTTGATGACAAAAAAAAACATTTTTCATATAAAGCATTGAAGGTGGCAAAATTTGCATCAAGTCCTTGGTGACTGTTGGCCAATGTAACTGTGTGTATGTGGATGTGCAAGTAGAAAAGCCTAATACATACACCCACATTCGATAATCAAAAGCGTTTTGCTTGACATCGGTACTAACAATAACGTTTGTTTTCAAAATGTCAGACAGTGTCATCAATGTCATGTTTATTTATTTCTCTCTAGGACAAGCTTTTTTTGTTGAGTGAAACTGTTCAGAAAGAAATGTGTTGATAAAGATAACTGTTTTATCTGGTGCCGTCGGGCGCCAGTGCTCCGAACATTGAATTCGTCCTCGTAGACTTCTAAATCGCCTTTCCTAAAGAGAAAATTTGGATGTATGGATAATAAAGTTCTTAAATAATTTTTGATAATTACAAAACAAACAAGATCGATTGTATCTAATGTGTTTTCTTTTTATTTCCAGACTCGTTTGTCTCCGTCAACTGATATTGAAAAACTAAATGTTATTATAACCGGAGATTTTAGACAAGATGTTAATTTATCACAATCGAAGCATACTGGTTGGTTGTTCATTTGTATACTTTGAAGTTCTAATGAAATTTATTGTTTAGATTCAATACCATCTAATGTAACCAATTTAATTGAAGAACTTCATGGGATTGATTCAAATTTGAATATACTTGGTCAATTACTTCAAAAACGTATAATATATTTATTACAAACTGATTTATTAACAACTAAGGATGATTTTCTTACATTGCATAAGCAACATAAGGTTAGACTATGCATGATTTATTCAATCAGAAACCATATGTGATTTTCAAGAAAAAAAAAACAGACGGCCTTTTTCTCTATAAATAAAAAAAAATCCGAACGATGAAAAAATGTACTTGAGCTATCAACTATTAACTGTTGATATGTATCTATCTATTGTAAACCTAAATATCAATATAGTAAAAAGACAGTCAGCTGCCTTTGTTAACGATGAAAAAAAAACCTACAAGAAAAAAAAAAGAGATAAATAAAAGATAATAGAACAGGTCATCAATAGTAATCAGCCCTGGGTTTTTTTTTTGAGGAAAAAGACGATAAGACTTTTCCTTCCTCTTCTTTTGTATTATTTGTCTGTATAAATGTCTCCGCAAATAGAAAATAAGGAAAATACCATTAGACAGACGCTATCTCATCAACAACAAAAAACTACTGAAGAATCTGTTGATACCACTCATGTTAACGGTAACATTGGTTATTTAACGAATAATAACAACGGTTTGTGACCATATGCCTTCAATTGCCATCATCGTGTGCATATATTGATAACTTGTGTTCATTAGACCATCAGTTGCAAACAAGTGATGCAGCGATCTTTTTCTTCTTCATACGCTGATCAGCGTAATAATCATCGTTCATCAATGACAACATGTCGACATTTGCCGATTCATTTTGCTTGTAATAACACCAATGATTATTACTTGTCTGACACTGACTCACACCATAAAACATACCTTCAGCGAACATCATCGAACAGTAGTTTCTCTTCAACAAGTTCAGCTTGCAGTGCTAGTTATCGTATTTTACCAGTGCGTTATTCATCAGTAGATAGAGTCCTATCAAAACCACCAACAGTAACAGCTAATGAACGTGGTATTAACGTACGCATACAATTTGATAATCCACATCATCACCATCATCATAAACATCATCATCGACATCATCGTGAACATAACACTGAAAAATCTGAACATTATCATCGAAGACATATGACTAAAGAACATCAACATTACGGTTCTTGTCCTGTACTTGATGAGAATAGTCAAAGATCAACATCATTAGGTCCATCAAATATAACATATATTGAAACACGATCAATTGTACGTGGTGGTTCAAATGATCAACTTAATAAAAATAATTATTCAAATTCAATAAATATTCATAAACGATCTATTCCTAGACCACCAATAGCAAATACACGTATAAAACATGTCCCACTTGATACAAATATATTCTCGACACGAGTTATTCGCAAAGAAGAGGAATGAGATATAAAAATAATTTTGTTTTTTTTCTTTTCAATGAATTATTTTTTTTTGTTTTTTTAATATTTATTTTAGGATTTTGAAAATAATCTTCTTTCACAAGCAAGTCGTATTAAAGATATTCGTAATCATATACGACAAGAATATAATACAATATCACATCATGAATTACGTTCATTGGTTAATCAAACATCAGATCACGTACAAAATCTATTTACAACATCAAAAGATTATTCTGATAAGTAAATAAAAGTTCTAAAAAAAGAAACAATATTTTTCATATATGATCAATATGGTTTTATTTTATTTTCATTTAGATTGTTTATTGCTGAAACTGCTTTAAATCTTTTAAATACTTTAACGTCTCAAATTATTGAATTAGAAAATCGTTTAATATCTCAAAAATCACTTATCGATGATGAAAATGATTTTCATCGTCAATTAAATGATCTTAATGAATTACATAATCATTCACAAGTACTTGAGAAGTCAACAACAGACCTTCTCATGCAAAGTAAACAATTAGGTAATGACAAATTAATTCATATTAGTGAACACTTATCATCACGTTGGAAACAAATCATATCAGAAATAATTCAAAGGTTTTATTGATTTTTGTTTTCCTTTTTTTTTTTTATGAAATAATATATTTTTTTTTCTTTGTAGAAAACGATCGGTTAAACGAGTTATTGAAACGAATCGATCGTTTCGAAAATTATTTGAACAAGAAAAACGTCTACTTCATCTTATTGAAAGACGAATGCAAACTCTTGAAGCTATATCAAATGAAATGGAAAAACTTCAAAGAATGTCAAAAATTGTTATTGTACGATAATAAAATTTTTAGAAAAAAAAAAACTTTTTTGTTTTTACATATTCTAATTTTAGGATTTGTTTAATGATATTCTTTCTCGAGTACAATCAATTGAACATATGAATGATGTTGCGGTCAAACTTATACAAGAAGTTAAGGTAAAACTAGGTTAATTTATAAAAAGAGAGAAATGGAATTAATGAGGAAACTTTTTCGGGTGTTAAATCGGTTTTGCGATCGAGACGATATTCATTAGATGCAGTATTTTCTTTAGCGTGAGGTCTGATGGGAACTGTGGCCTTGCAACAATTGAGCTGTTTCAGCTCATCTGGAGTCGACAGATACTTCTTAGTAGAAATAGTAAAAATAAAAAACGCTCGTCTTCTATTGTCCTTTGGTGCCGAGTTATGACCGATTCATTGGATTTTTGACTCGTTTTTTTAGGTCCTCTCCGGTAGAGCGAATAACAAAAATTTTGATCTAACTTTTTATTTATAGACAGATCTAATGACTCTTAGTGTATCCTGGAAGTTTCAGTAGAAAAGAATGTTTCTTTGTCGAGTTACTGAATTTTGCAGTGAATTCGATTTTTGTTACAAAGAGTTGTTTCTTGGAAATCCATTATCTTGACAAAGAAACATTTGTTTTGGTTGAAACTTTCAGAATATTTTAATTCCTTAAACCTACGAATAGACAAAATTTTGGATTGAAAACCCAATACATCGATTTTAATTGGGTGCCAGTGGACATGAATCTTTTTTGACTTTTATTATCCGCACTGAGATCTGCCTATGAGTCCAATATGAGTTCAAACAGTGAACTTTACTTGGGATAGTTTCCTCGTTAGTAAAACTTCGATACCATAGAACGAAAGCCCATAAAACCAAAATCATGTTTGCTCTTTATATTACTCATCAAATTAATCTTTCATTCAAAATTTCTCTTTCGAAGGGGTAATTTAAAAGTCTGGACGGATCAATTTGATTTTTGAAGAGGTGCACCTGCCTTCGGTCCTTACCTCAATAAAATATTGCATTAAATAATCCCTATCTCAGTTGAAAAGTGACTTGATACTTGAAGAGGTTCCTTTATACGTTATATAGAAATGTATATTTTTACATGTAGAAATTTCTTTTTTGTTATATATAAAAAAATAAACATTTCATCATCATGTAGATGTATAACAAAAATTTGAAACATTTTCGTGTATCATTACGCGATCCAAATTCAAATATTAATACATCAATTTCTAATAAACGACCACAATATACATCAACTGTTCAACGTGCATCTCGAGCTATTTCAAATCAAGTTGAAGAATTTGATCGGTAAAAAAAATAAAATAAAATATTGAAAATAAACAAGAAAAATGTGTTTTATTTTATTTATTAGACATTATGCTAATCTTCTTTCTAATATGGAAGAATATACACGTTCATTTGTAAAAAATTATAATGCAATCGGACAAGTAATAAAATACTCTATTGTTTCTTTTGATTTATGATGCATTCCTTGTTTATTAATGTTGTTTCTAGATAATTAGTCTTCCTCTTGATTATGCATCAACAATTGTTCATCTTTATCGTAGTACAATCGCATCTCGATATAATACTACTGCCGAATCTCTTTTTTCATCATCCGATGAAGAGGAACAATCATTTTCAGCATCGTCTGCAAAACAGAATCAACAAAGTAGTGATGAAACAGGTAATCAAGATAGTAATATTATCAAAAGTAATTGACCATGTTGTGTTTTCTTTATCGCTTATCACCTTTGTTCTTTGATAGATTGATTGATATTATATCTGTGATGTTAGATTTTCTCTTTTTTTTTTTTTTTATTCCGCTTTATAATGAAAAAATCTACTACATAATCATATAAACATACATACACACACATGTGAAGAAGCAGAAGAATAATTATAAGATATACATGAGATAAGAAGATACTTTACTCTTCTGTGAACAAGGTCAATCGCAGCAAGCACATTTACATTTTCACTCTTTAGTTTTTTCTTTCTCATCTTTTTTATGATTAAATGCACATGAAGAAGGTCAAATTATATCGACTAGGGTTAGACTATACTACAATCGTCCTTCTTTCACTTCGTTCATTTTCAGTTGTGATTAAATGAGATGCTCAAATGAACTTTCTCCTATCATTGATTTAATCCATGTGTATAATGCTGTCCTATTTTTTGATATCAAGTTAAGCATACAATAATTGAACATTTTGATCAAAAGTATATATATATATATGCATGTACATATATGTATGTATATAGATATATTTATTATTCGATGTTTATTTGTTAAGATATACATACTAATAAACAACAGCTGATGACAATAATATCTTAGAAAAGAGAATATTTGCATTAACAAAAGCTATTTATCTTACCATAAGTGATATTTAGGCTTTTGTTTTTTTACACATATTTTTTTTATACGATAACAGACATCTCTCTTCGACAACTAAATCAAAGCAATATATTAATCATACAACAGTCTTTCATCTAGTTATTGTTATCATTAATGCCTAAGTTAGTTTCGACACTAATAATATAGAATGTCTGTTATAACATTCGCGTAGACTCCACCCTTTTTCTTGACAATTGTGTATCTTGAATATGATCATTCGAATCGATACACAAGCCAGAGACTATAATGAAAGATAGATGTGCAATGACGATATTGACACAGATCTAATCTCTTCGTTTGTCACATGTATGAGTGTGTGGATGTGGCGCTGAGTCAGTTAGTTCAGTCATATTTATATTGAGAAGAAAAGTGAGAGAGAGAGAGAGAGAGAGAAAACGGATGGTGAATGCATATGTATAAGTGTGTACATATGAAGAGAGGGTGAAAGCAGTAAAAAAATACAACTAATCGAAGCTTGTGTGCTAAATGTGCATGCTCTTTCTTTTTTTTCTCTCTGTTTCACATTTCTTCTACAGCTTCCTCTATTGTCCGGTCGACCGTTGTTATATGGACGCTGCCGATTTATTCATTCATATACATTATTTCTTCATGTCCCTTTTTACGTCATTCATTTATATATTCTCGTCATTGTAAAAATGAAGCGTATATGTCAATGGAGAAAAATTTCAAGTGAAGAACAAACATCTAATGCTCTTCTGTTTCTCTTTCTCTCTGAATGCTTATGCAAATTGAAAGATTCATGATAACTTCATACAATCTGTTATTTTTCTCATAGGTTTTATTGACTTGTCACACAGAAAGGTCACTGTCGATCGTCATCATCATCATTATCCATTGTCATCATTAGACAATTCAGTTTCACTTGAAACTACATATGTTATACCAAGAAATGAATTATCATCATCATTTGGCATAGATAATGATCTATCAAATAAGAAAGTAAGATTCATAATAGAAAAACAACAACCAACATCATCAATTATTAAAAGTAATATATTAATAACAAATATAAAATCCAATGAAATGACACAACGAAAAAATGTTTCGTTTGTTGATGCGGTCAATAGCAAATATCTCGATTTGTCAACGGGTCTCTTTTCTTCTCCTTTTCCATTCGTTCTTTCTTCTTCTTCTTCTTCTTCTTTGCCTTTTTCTTCCTTTACATCGCCGCCCGATCAACATCGCTACCCTCACAACCATTTTTCTTCTACATCGTCTTCGCCGCCACATACAACTACGACTACAACCAACAGCAAAAATCTTCTCTCTACGTCGCCGTTGTCGGTGAATAATCGTCCTTTTTCCGTTGGCGCAGACTCCACTACAACCACAACGACCATTACATTAAAAGAAGCGATCGATACAAATATTCTAGATTCGCGTAGCGCCTACGTGGTCGATACGCTCGAACAACGGTAAGTAAGAATAAGATAAAAAAAAAAAAAAAGAAGAAGAAAAAACCGTGGATTACGTTTTGCTTAGATATTAGTTTTTTCATTATGAAATCAGACTTTCTTTTTTTTTTTCGTGCATATGTTTGTTTTCTTATAAGTGGACAAAGAAAAGCAAGCAAAGACGTAATAGTTGCTCAGTTAATAATGTATGGAATTCTATCATAGTTGCGTGTAGAACACGTTCATTTTCTGCTTAACATATGAATAAGAAATTGATATATCGATGTAATATATACATATAAGACAAAAGTCTGTTCTTTATCTTACTTTTCAAATAAAAAAGAAAAAATCTTTGTTACATACATATGAATTGAGTTTGACACATCGTCTAAGAAAAAAAGTCGAAGTCATATTCATTCATGTTGTTTTTTTCTTTTTTATAACTAACGCAACGCAACGAAAAGAAAAGAAAACAAATCATTAAATGTTTCTTTTATATTTGTTTATTTATTTATTTATTTATTTTCTTTACATTTTCAGTAATTACGATTTACGTGAAGCTTATTCTCGTGGTTTAATAAATCCAAATAATCATCATATTATCGATCGTGTTACATCACGAGAATTAGATTTAGGTGAAGCATTAAAAATGGGTATTCTTAAAGTTGGTGACCCACAATCATATAATATTATATCAAAAACTGAATCACTTATTATTTCAAGTGTATTTGATCATCGTTTAAATACATTTGTTGATCCAAATATTGCCATACGTACAAAAATTCTTGATCCTTATCATGGTTTATATATAAATAATTTAACACAAGAATCAATATCAATTGATGATGCTATGACAAAAGGTTTTATCATCGTTGAACAACAACCTCCATTACAACAATCATCAAATCATCATAATGATAAATATGTTATATCAACATCATTAATACGTGAAACACGATCTTATCATTTATTAGGTGTTCGAGATTATCTTAATAATAAAGAATTAACAGTTCAAGAAGCTATACGTTTAGGTATATTAGATAAACAAAATGGACAATATATTAATAGAAAAACAAATGAAATATTATCTATTTCGGAAGCTATTGCTCAAGGACATATACGTGCACAACCATTACCAGTTGAATCAACAATAAATCAAGATACATTAACAACAAATAAACGTGGTACAGTTAAAGAAACTAAAACATATACACTTAAAAGTGCTATACATCCAAAAACACGTCAAGAAATTCCTATACGTTTAGCTATTGATGAAGGTATAATTGATCATGCTAAAGGTTATTATGTAAATAGTGTAACAGGTGAAAATCTTCCAATAAGTGTTGCAATTGAAAGAGGTTTAATATTTACAGAATTAATTGATCAACATTCAAAACGTTATAGAAAAACATTAATTATAGAACAAGTTATTGATCCAGTTACAAATCGTCGTTTAGGTGTTAATGAAGCTATTAAAATAGGTCTATTAAATTCAAATATAACAACCTATTATCATTCAGTTACACAAAAACAAATGACTATACTTGAAGCATACGAACAAGGTTTAATTATAGGTAAATTTCATGATCAACATCCATCATCATTTTATGGTAATCAACATGAACAAGTTTTTTATTTAATAACTGGTATTATTGATATACGTACAGATAAAGTTTATAGTCTTCAAGAAGGTAAAAATACAAAATATAAAATAAATAAAATTATTATCTTATTATTCTAGGTATACAACAAAAATTATTTGATCATAAAAAAGGTGTTTATATACATCCAATAACAGGTGATGAAATAAATATAGGTGATGCTGTTAAACGTGGTTATATACAAGTACAAGCTGTATCATCACAAATTATATTTAATAATACAGATCAAATATTAAATGAAAAACGTCGTACAATAATAAGTCAAGAACCATATGGTAATATAAATGATTCACGTTCAAAATTATCTATACGTATTGAATCACAAGCACGACCACGTACACCTTATGAAATAAATGAATCTGAATATTTACAACATGATAAAGATGTTGTTGAAATCGAATCTATTCAACGTTTACCAAGACATAAAAAACAACATGTTATTACACGTGAAGAAGAAATTATTGAACAACATACAAAAAATATTGTTGATAGAGAAATATTTATTAATCGTGGTGGAAATAATCGAGCTAAATCAAATGAAAAACAAAAACAACAATATATTGAAGAAGTTGTTATTGATGATAGTATAAATAATAATCGTCGAGCTAAATTTGATATTAAAGAAGACCGACATACATCACATAGAGAAATTGTTATTGATGGTGATAGATATGTACCACCACCTAAAGATCAACTTATTATAAATGGTACAAAACGTGAACATGAGGTAATAGAGATAACTTTTAAGTTTTAATTAAATTGATAAAGTTCATTGAAAAAATAAATTGAAAATTTTTCATAATAGTTTATGAATCGAAAAAAAAAAGAATACTTCTGAACTGAAAGAATCCTCTGCTAATTTCTTTTCTAGGTTCGTGTTGTTCAAACAGCTCGTCCACAAAGACCTATATCACCACCACGTGCCATACATATAGATGATCGTCAACGTGAAGGTCAACGTATACATCATGGTGAACTTATTATCGATGATCATCAACGTCCATATACATCATCAACAGCTCATACAACAATAAAGAAAGAATATATTGATATAACAGATAATCATGTTAGAACTTCTCCATTACCAAAACAACAAACAACTGATTATGTCTATGATGAACAACAATCATGGACAGAAGAAGAATGGGAGCAATGGCATTGTATAATGATGATTAAAGGTCAACCATATCGTGTTGTTTGGGTAATGAATACTGCAACAGGTGATCGTTTACCATTACAAAATGCCTATCAACGTGGTTTAGTTGATACGAAACAACGTTTATTTTATGATGAAAAATTAAATCGTCAAACATATTCATTTGAAAAAGCTGTTGAATTAGGTTATATGGGTATTGAACCTGATACAGCATCATTACCAATGCATGTTGATGGTATTGATTATATGATACATTGGGTATTAGATTCATCAACAAAACGTCGAATATTTCCACGACAAGCTGTACGTAAACAAATTTTAGAACCTACATATGGTCGTTATATAAATCCATATAATAAATCACAAGTATCATTACATGAAGCTATTTATTTAAAATTTATTGGTGCTACAGAATATAATACAACAACTGACTTAATAACAGTAACTATTAATGGACAAACATATAATATTAAATGGGTTTATGATACACGTAATATGAAAAAAATTTTACCACGTGATGCATTAAAACAAGGTATATTGGATATACAATTAAATGAATATCGTAAATTTGATACAAATGATGTTATGACTATATATGATGCTATACAAGCTGGTTACATACGTTGTAATGATGATGAATCATCATCAGATAATAGTATAAGACCACCATCAATAATATCTGTTGATGAAGATGAATTAACTATAGCAACAAAAACAGCTACCTATGTTATTACATCAGTTATACATCCATTAACACAAAAAGAAATTAAAGTATCCGAAGCTATTGATTTGGGTATACTTGATAAAGACATTGGTAAGCAAAAAAACAACAATAAGTTTGAATGTTTGATAAATGTGAGATTGATGATAGATCTATAGATATTTGCCTTTTTTTTTCTCGTTTTGTTAGTATGACATGTTTTGACATATGGTATTGTTATTATTTATTTGGTGTCTTTGAGAAAGATCAGTCTGATAATTGACGTTGCCTTGTCTTTAGACAAAAAGAAATTATTTTGTTTTTGCATAACAAAGAAAATATTTAGATTCAAGGTCTTATTTTCCATTGAATATACTGAAGGAAACTAATTATATGCATTGTATACACAATCAACTCGCTCATAAATAATTGAGCTGACAACCGATAATATCTAGGTAGCATGCATAGAATTTTTCCTATTTAAACATGATTGATGATAGTAATTTGTAAGAAAAGAAAATTTTAAGCAAAATCCTATTATATTGACATTTAGATCTACTTACCTTTAAGACGCATAACTTGGTAAAAATGACGGAAAACCAACATTAGCTTATCATTGATTGATGAAGCCATAAAAAAAAAGTCTATTTGCATTACGAATAAGAACAAGGGTTTTACTCTATAGCAACGAAAAATGTGCTGAAACTAAACTATGAGAAAAAAATGCTCTCAAACAAGACAACGTTCTATATTAGTCACTGAATTATTTTATAAATCATACTAATCAAAACATTAAAAATGCAATAGAAATAAATACATAGAACCCATGAGGTACAAAACTTACGAACTCAGATCCGGTGTATTGAATGTTTTTAGAAATTTGATCTCGATCGAGCCGTACCGATATTCTCAATGGAATTTTCTAATTGGATATTGAATATTCGCCCAGATATTTTGTTGCAGTCTGTTGTATTCGGTGACTAGTGCAGCCAACACATTCGAGACCTTCGTAAAGGAAAATCATATTGAATTAGGATTACTGTAATTCGTTTTTTACTGTCATACTAATTCGATTCATTCTTCATTCTATATATGTTGTTGTTTAAGAAAAAAATCAAAAAAATGTTTTTATTATTTTGTAGGTAGTTATCGAGATTTAGTAACTAATGTTCAATATGAATTAGCTGAAGCAATAAATGAAGGTTTAGTTTATGCAACAATAATTGAAACAAAAGAAGATACAGAAATGTTAACATCATCAGTACAAGAAATTGTGAGAAAATTTATTGTTAAAAGTGTAGCTGTTGATAGTGAATCACAAGAAAAAATTGGTGGTTTAGAAGCACAAGCTATTGGTATACTTAATTATGCACAAGGTGTTTATCATGATAGAAAATATGGTGTAAGAATTCCACTTGGTAAGAAAAATAAAAACTAAAAATAAAAGAGTTATTGAATATATATATATATATATTTGTTTTTCTTTATTTTAGATAAAGCTATTGAAAAGAAATTACTCGATGTAGAACTTATAAGTCAAAATCGATTTGAAGAATATGATTTAGAATTAATAACTGATACAATTACAGAAAAACGTATTACTTTATATAAAATTCATGGTGTACGTAATAATGTATTAGATCGTATGGAATCAGGAGCTGTAGCTGTTAAAAATCAAATAATTGATACTGAAGCTAAAACTTATACTGATTTTTCAACTGGTGAAACAATGACTATACAAGAAGCTATTAATAAAAATTTAATACAAGCTGAAATAAGTGAACATGTTGAAAGAAAACCATTAGGTTTATCAATGCAAAATGCTATTCGACTTGGTTTTTATGTAGCTGAAACAGGTAAAAAGAATATTCTAAAGACAAAATACACCTGTGGATCTAACAGATCATACTCTAAAACTAACAGCTCTTTGTAATTTGATTCTGAGACACATGTAGAGAGTGTTAGTTATAGAATGCAAATAATCGATACAGAATATCGCGCATTTTCGAAGCAAGTTAAAGACGTATAAAAATACTGTGATCCAGCTCAGGCAAACAAGAAAAAGTGATTTTCGAATTTCGACTCAAAAAGCTGCATAGAGAGAGACTTTTTCAAAAATCGTTTATTGTGAAAGTTTCAGAATTATCTCAGTCGCATTTCAAAACGTGATTGAATTAGCTCTAATGGACGCAGATAGAAACAGTATTAAACGTACTTTATGACGTTGAAATTTATATTATATGTGAAAATAGATCATGTTGAATCATCAATAAAAAAGCTACGTATTCATTAAAAAACAAAAGAGAAGCTAATGAAGTCATTTTTTTGGAACGATTATATTCGATAAAGTACAGTTCTTGACAATAGTAGCAGCTTCTTAATTCATTTGAAACTTGCAGTAAAAAGTTCTGACAGTTTTAGCGCTATCGCATTGAGTAGAGTCGAATTAAGTGCTATGACATGACTTCATTATCTCGGAGCGTGATAATTGTTTAGATATTTATTATGTATCATGGCTTCTGGCGATAATAATATCAACATATGGAATTGTCTTTAGCATTAGAAAGAAAATAACAAACTAAAAGTTTTTGAGTGCATATATCCTCTGAATATCTTTTTCATCAGGACCAAATGATCTATCAATCATAATTTTATCACGTGTAAACTCGTGAATGGCGAGTTGATGCTTGCAATTAAGACTTATTATCACACATATGTACCTAAAGATATCAGCTCAATATCATAAAAAAATAGTAACATTTCATAGGAGATAGCTACTTTTGTCAAGGGCTGTAATATAATCTTCCACTAGAGATATGTGTTATAGATCCACTTAGGATAAATATTTCTGACGTAAAAAAAAATAATTTCTAATTCTCAGCATAACTCAAAGTAATTCAATAAATCACATTGAATCTTATATATGGTAGTCGCAAAAAGTACCTAAAATTTAATCTTTTAATCTCATTGTTTGACTACAAATGTAATATTTGAAGATATATCAACAAAAATAAATAAATAAATAAATATACCTTGAATTTTTCTTCATTGGATGCTCTGCTTGAAGCCAATTGTCCCTCAGAATTTCACGATCAGAGCCACCAATTGAGAAGAGATCGATGCTTCAAAAAAGTGTTTAAAAAAAATTTTTTTTAATCCTAGAGAAATAAATTAGGATTTTCACTATAAGTGCTTTGCATAGAGGTCTATCAACTTCGAACTGCTGCATGTGATCTGAGTTTACAGAGTTTTATTTTGAGTCAATGTCTTAGGATTATTGTAAAAAGAATCTACTCATGCATTTTTTCTTGTGTATTCTATGTCAATCTAATACAAAGCTTCTCAAATATCAATTGAATATGTCTATCATAATTATTTCATAATCATTTTAGGTACATTTCGTGATCCAGCTACAGAACATTATATGACATTAATGGAAGCTATTGAACGTGGTCATATACATGTAAATGGTATTGCATTTGCTGATAGTGAACAAGGTCCAATAACATTATATGATGCATTATCATTAGGTTTAATAAATCGTCGTGATGGTGGTAAATTAAATCCAGCTAAAATAAGTTTATATCGTGCACGATTAGTTGAATCAAAATTACATCGAATGAATGTTGAAGATGCTATACGTTGTGGTTTACTTAATCTTCGTACAGGTCTTTATAAACATCCACATAGTGGTGAACAATTAAATTTAAAAGAAGCTATACAACGTGGTTTAATTGATGGACAAAGTACAATAATTGAACATCCAACAAGTGGACGTTTTATGACATTAAAAGAAGCATTAGATGGTATACGTATAGATAATGAAGGACAAGTTATTGATTCTTATACAAATAAAACTATAACAACATTAGAATTAGCATTTAATCATAGAAAATTATTTTCACAATTTGATGTTAATGCTGGTGAAGTATTTTTACCAACACTTAATGAATCAGTTGGATTTGAAAAAGCTATAAGAAAAAATTTACTTGATAATAATCGTATGAAATTATTTGATCCTAAAACTAGTCGTGAATATACAATACAAGATGCTATTGAACGTGGTTTAGTTGATTCAGAATCAGGTTTAATTTATGATACACATACACATACACAATATTCTATACGTGAAGCTATACGTCATGGTATTGTTGCTATTGTTGGTGCACCACTTGTACCCATTAAAGCTAATCATGAAACAGTTGCAGCTAAAATAACATCAAGAAAACATCGACGACATTCATTAGCGAAAAGTTCATTACATTTTGATTATAATAGTGCACCTGATTCAGCTGATGAAGATTCACAAGGTAGTGGTTGGCATAGAATTAAATCAAGAACACGTGCTATTAGTCCATTAAGTTATGATGGTAGAAGTGATTTAAAATCTACTATTCGTCGACGTACAGGTTCAAGTCCAACACGAACATGTCGTGATGATGATTGGAGAACACGATGGACAGGTGGAAATAATAAAGATGATGATGATGATGATCATACATTTGGATCTGGTGGTGGTGGTGGTTCGAAACGTTTAGGTGGAAATTCATTTTATTCAAGTGTTACAACTCAAGTACAACAAACAAATAATTCATCGGATCAATCACAAGGGGGACGAACATCATCGGGTTTTCAACAAAAACGTAAATTTATTTAAAAATAACAAAAAAATAATATTTATATATTTGATTTAAAATATCTTTTTATTTTATTTTATTTATTTTTAGAAGAACAATTATCTTCATTATCAACAGTCACATCCAAGGTAAGCTAATCAATATATACATATATTTGGTATTTTCTTCTCTATGCGATGCATGTTTATTGTACCTTAAACCTATATATATGTGTGTGTCACGGTCATTTATTAGAAAATGTGAGTAGTAAGTGTGAAATGCTTGCTTTCTTATTTGTTTGGCATTTTGTTTTGCATGATTTAATAATAATAAAAGAAAAATAATAATTCTCACTTATTATCTTTTCTCTATTTATTCTAGGTGAGTTTGGTGGCATCCATGGTACATCCTTCTTCTAATGACTATGATCACATTAAGTCTTCTTTGTCTTTTGATTTGATGTTTTTTCTTTCTTATTACTTCTATTTATTAACACTTGTTCCAATTTCTTCTTCTGCTTCATTATCTATTTTCGTACAATGAACTTTGACATATATATATATATACATATATATATTAATTAGGAATCTCTTCATTTGTTGTTTTTGTTACAATTATTATTATTATTATTATTATTATCCTTTGTTATGTGTACAGAACAAAAATTCATATCTTGTATGTTCTGTTTGTGTATAAACGTCTATTTTGTATTTGTCTCCAATTTTGTGCTAGTATTAGATCAAAAAAAAAAACAAAATTAAGAAATCAGCCCACGTAGAGAACCCTCTTTTTCCTTTTAGTATATATACCTATACACTCTACCGCTGCACCCTTTTATTACAAAATTGTACACTGTTCTTTTTTTTTTTTCGTTTTTCGTTTTTTTTTGTCTTGAAAAAAAAAAATAGAGACAAGAAGATAGAGAAAGATTTAAAATATATGTACATGAAAAATGAAATGTTTGTTATCAGTAGAACGAAAAAAAAAAAGAAACAATAAATAAAAAAAGATTTGATTTTAAGAAGAAAAACAAAAATTTTATATGATGATCATTATCGAGTGTTTTGTCTTATTTTTTAAATCTATAGTTAGATATATCATAAGTAATGATGATGTTTATTAGTAGTTGCAAACTAAACTAATTTCTATGTAGAATAGAAATTTCTAATCTTTAAATTGGGATTATTATACTAACATAAATATTTTGTTGATAGAAATACTGACAATTTTCTATTTGAGTGAATTTTCATTTAAAAAGAATAATAATTCGCAAAGGACATAATCATTCTTTTTCACAGTGATTTTCATATTGTTGAAAATCCTATTTATTTGCAGTAAAAAAAAAAATAAGCAGATAGAAAAAAAGAAGTTTTGTAAGGACTTAATAAAAGTTGTATTAGTTGTAGTTTTCTTTTAGAAAATTTATTGTATACTAATATCTGTAGACAATAAATATCAAATCATTTGAAAAATAACAAATTTAGTTTACTAAAAATCAATCAAATTATTCACGTAGTCGTTTTTTTTATTACTGAATTCTCGAACAAATTCTTATAGTTATTTTCATAAATAATTTTAGTACATCAACATTTTTCAATTGTGATTTAACAGAAGAAATAGAAAACTCTTTTCTTCTTGTCTCAATTTTAAAATTATAATGCATGTAAAATATGTGGTGTAATCTAACACTTTATCTTAACAAATGACATGTAATTCTACGTATATATATATGTGTATGTTTCTTCACAACCATAGTCTATCAATCGTATTTTTCACTCATCAACATACAACTAATTTTCTTGCAACTTTCAGGAATCATCGGTTTCAAATAATCAGAATAATGGAAAATCAATTGAACCTATTGAAAATATAGATGATATTTCATCAGCAACAAAAATTTCTAATAATGAACAATCATTATTATCAACTATTGATAATAATAATGATGTATTACAGTCATCAGTATCGGTTGAATTAACTTTGAAAATACAGGTAAATTTATTGTCGATGATTTAAATAAATAATTTAAGCGAAACTATGATTACTTATGCTTACACAAAATATAAAACATGTCTATTTATTTCACCCAGATAAATCTTCATCAGTTCGACAATGAAAATTTCACGTAAAATGAATAGAATTCCAAGCTGCTCGGTTTTTGCACGATGTTTTTTTTTTTGTGTTCATATGAATGAAACCATTTGGTGTTAGATAAATAAATTATTTATAATTATTCTTTTCTTTAGAATGATGAAAATCGTTTAATTCTGGAAATGAATGATGTCGCTGGTCGTTTAACATCATTACATGATCAATTAAATCAATACGTTTATTTAACTGAAAATCTTAATGAACTTCGAATAAATGTTGAACATATTAAAGTAAAATATAAAAAAAACGAAAACATCAAAAGAAGATTTTTATTTATCATTCTTTTAGCAATTATATGCAGAAATTGAAAAAGAAAAACCGATCATTCATAATCTTATTGAACGAGCAACGAATATTAATCCACAATTAGCAATATTAACTACAGATCTTGAAGATAAACGAGTTGAAGTAAATATAGACTTTAGTCGAAAAATTATTTTGTACAGCACGAAATAGAACTCAAGACATTAAGAACTCATTTTTGAGTTTTCGTTGACATAGAAAGTCCTGGTCACTATGTATTGTATAATTGCCAGTTTTCATAGGAACAGGTATTTGAACATCATCCGAGATTAACAGAGTCATATTTCTTCGACTCGAAATCTAGTTTGGATGTATGAGTTTTCTTTTCAGTAGTACTCATATCGAGGTCGTATTGGTAGTTCTAGTAAAGTTTTTGAATATTTGGACATTTTAGAAGTATTGGAGGCTTTTCTTATTGTGAGGGATTTACATATGGAAAAGATTTATTTTTATAGAACGAAGAAGTGATTCACGAAAAGTAGTTCATGATTTTTAAGTTCATATTTTGGACACTGAGAAGACCTCTAGAGCCGAATGATTATAAAAGGATTTGAGCCAATAGATTGCTCTATATTGAAACAATGGTATTTTAAAAGGTTTCGAAAATTGAAATGAAATCGAAACCTTTTTTAAGGTTTCGATTTCATTTCAATTTTCAAAACTTTGTTTAAATTGCGTAACGTACTTTTTTTTTAGAGTACAAAATTACGATAGTTTTACCATAGGATAGTTTATCAGCGAAAGATTTCTAACTTAAAATGTTGTTTCGAATGTAAGACTTCTCGGTTTTGAAGTCTTAATACTTCAACAAAGTGTTTTGACGGAAACGTTAATAATATTCTTATTGTAACTTTGTACAACAACCTATAATGGCGGACATAAATTTAGAGCATTTCTAGTTTTTGAAGTTTTCTTCTCGATGATAATAGTTAGCGACCATCTGAAAAAATATTTGTATAGCTGGAAGAATTCTCTATTAGAATTGGTAGACCGGAAGATTTCAACAAGGCTGTTTGAATGAAAGCCTGAGGAAAGCTAAGACCCTGAAAACCAGCTGTCTGATTTCCATTCGAAGCTTTTAAGAAAATATTTTATATTTTGTATTTCTTATTAAGATATCTGATATCAATAATGGTATGAGCAATATCATTGAACGATTTATTACTCAACTCGATCAATTTAATATTCAATACGCTTATTTAACTGAATGGCTTAGAATTAATGAAAAAGAACTTGAAAATAATTTACAATTATCAACATTAAATACTGATAATGATAAATTCAAGAGTATTTTAAATACAGGAATTAATTTACAAAATGATCTTACATATCTTCAAGAATATTTACAAACAATTGATTTAATCATACAAGATTTTCAACAAGCAACTGAAAATACAGATGATGGAAAATCAACAATGATTTTCAATCAACTTCAACAATCGTTAGAATTATTAATAACAAATTATTCTAATTTTCTTAAACGTTGTAAACAAATATCAGATATATGTGAACGTTATTTGATACTATTCAATGAAATAAATCATTTAGATGAAGAATTTCTTAAATCAATGAATGAATTTGATCAACATTTAGCTATTAATGAAAAGAATCAAGAAGTAAAATTTTATTGAATAAACATTTTTTTTTTCTTTTTTTTCTTTTTTTACTTTACTAGGATGATAATATATTACAAAGTCTTTTATTGAATGTTCAACAACAATTAGATAAATTACGTATGCTTTCAACACATGAACATACTTCAACATCAACAGTTATAGTGTTGAATAATCATATTCATAATCAAGTAAAAGAACATGTGAGTTATAATTGAGAGCTTTTTTTTTCAAAAAGTAATAGAAATAGGTTCAAATCATCTGGCTTCTTGCTGATTTCTCTTTTCTTTATGTCCTTTTATTCTTTCTGTATTTCATCGCGAAGAAAAAAAAAAGGAGAATGAGTAAGAACCTTACATCAACACTAATTCTTGTTTCCAAGAGAAAAAAAAAGGAAAGAAAAAAAAAAGACATACAGAAGATCATAACAAGTAATGTTAGTATGTTGTTTTGCAGACAGTCTATAATATATAGAAAGAAAAAAGAAAACTAAGAAAACATACCATTACAATGCTTGTGATAAACAGAAGTTCTGTCTGACGTCCTTCTTTTTTTAGCTTTTTACTTTACTTAAAACACATACTGAACGTTATAATGATGCTCAACAACGTTTAATGCATCATTTCGAATTAATCGAACGTTTTCTTCATGAACGTCAAACAATAAAAGAACGTATTAATGAATTATATTATTGGTTATTATCTTCAATTGAAAATGATTTTTTTTCAAAACCATTATCTTTAAATCGTTCAAAATTAGATGAACAAATAATAAATTTTCGTCAATTTCATGCACAATTACGTACACGACAATATTCATTTGATTCTGATATAAATACAAAAATAAATTTTGAACAATTATTTGATAATGAAGATAAAAATTCTATAAAATTAATTAAAGAATATTTTCAATTATTAAATGAACAATCAAATCAATATAATGAATATATTAATCATTTATCAACATGTTTAAATGAATTTCATCTTGAACATACACATTTAAGTGATATATATTCAAATTCTATACGTCTTTATGTTGAACAAATAAAACAAAATAATGATATAAATTTTTCTGCATTAGAATTATTATTAAATAATGATCAAGATTTAATTATTGATCATACATTATATGATCAATTAATAAATAATTTATTAGAAACAAAAAATATTGAAAATAAAAATGATATATTAGAATATCAAAATCAAATTAATGAATATAAAATTCATTATGAAAAATTTCAAAATGATTTAAAATTAATACTTAAAAATCGACAATTATTATTAAATCAATATGATTTAGTTAAAAATCAAATTGAAGAATTTTTATTAACAACAGATCGTTTATTAAAACAAACATTAACAATTGATATATGTCAAGATTTATTAACAAAACATTCATTATTACCTATTGAACAATTAAAAATTTTAACTGAACAATTAATTAATTTTTATTCATCACCAAATCTTATAAATTTATATGAACAATTAAAATTATCAAAACCAATAAATCATTCAAATTTAACATTAATTTATCAAAAACAAACTGATGATTTAATCGAATATTATTTATTAATTAAACAACGATTACTTGAATATTTAGAATTATTAGAAAATATTCAACAACAAACAAATCAATATCAATCAACTAAACAAATTGCTGAAAATTCAATTGAAAAAGCTAAACAATTAATTACAATAAATGAAACTATAATACTTCCATTAGATAATCAACAAATTATTGTTATGTTACAAAAATATAAAGTAAATTTATTTAATATTGTAATCATAGAAACGTTGTTTTTTTTTCCTATATCCATTTATCGATGTTGAAGTTTTGAGTGGTCAAAACAAGATACTCGGCCATTATTCTGAATTGCTCCACAAGATCTTTTTTATTCAAAGATTGAGAATAAATATATTCTATACTATTTTTTTCTTGTCGTCCATCAATGAAAAGCTTTGCGTATGCACGAGCAACTTTAGTATTAGTATATTATAGTAATATCCATCATAATCTACGAGAAACGATATGCACCTAAGTTAACCTCTAGATGATTTAGGAATTAAGAATAGACAATAACATAAACAAAACTTATAAGGAAAACATTGAAGAATGAATCATAAATCACGAAGGACTAATGATCTAAAGTATTGAACTTATCATATTGACATTCTGATATTAATTATCCGTCATATTTACTTCATAATTTATTGAACAACACCTGTGTAAATTGTTTGTTTCTGATTAATCATCAAAGGAATGAGCTAATTGTTTTATGTCTTTCGGGAAAAAAAAATTTTTTTGCTCATGACCTTTGATAATATGCAGCACAGTAAGATATCCTTTGAACAAACTTTTCTCTAATGAGAATAACCTTTTCTTTCATTAAGTTTGAGTTAATTGAGTTAGGAATAATTTACAAATAAGAATAAGTATTCTAAAATTCTCATTTATTTCAAATAGGACATTGGTGATCAACTTAGATCAATGGCATCAACAATTGATGAATACAAAGCTATTGGTTTATCATTAATAAATGTTGCTCAACGATATATTGATACTGATCTTATTCAAAATGAGATCAATTCTATTGGTAAATAGTTTATATATATATATATCAAATTAAATATCTTCTATTTATGTTTTATTTAGATAATACGTGGTCTGAATATGTTGAATATATTTTTGATACACTTGATTATATTCAATTACATCAAGAAGATTTACATGAATTTTATCAATTAGCTAATAATTTATTAGTTTTACTTAATGAAAAACAGATACAATTGGAAACAATTAAAGATGATGAATTGAAAAATTTTCGTGATGAAATTGAAAATCTTAATGAACAAATTGAATTATTATATCAGAAAGGTGAACTTTTATTACAAATTTCAGCTACTGATTCAAACGATAATCAAGTTGCACGTTTATTAGAAACAATTAATCGAAATTATGATAATTTAACTATCAAACTAAAAGTTACCTTGAATAAAATGAATGACATACATCAATCAACTACAACACCAGTAACGGCAACAACAGATAATGTATGAATAATAGAATAAAAACAACCGAAAAAAAAACAAACAAACATCATTTAATTTCTTTAGATTCCATCAATATCATCACATCAAATCATCGATGAAATTCATCATCATATGAATGAAATAGATTTAGCTATGAATGAATTATCGGAATTATTAGTTTCAGCAACAGCTGATGCAATATCAGCTCAACCAATTAAATTAAGTGAACAATTACTTGATAGTGCTGTTGTTCACAATGAATTAGATAAACGAAAAGATGCTCTTGAACAATTATCTTCAAATATACAAACATTTAAACAAATGGTAACGAATACAGAAGATATGGATTCAGTCACAGGTGAGATTATTTAATGTTTGTTGGTTTTTATGTCAAATAGTTTAAGAATTTTGATTAAAAAATTGGAAAAAGAATAACTTACTACCTGACTGACATTATCTTAAATTATTCCTAAATCTCTGGAATATATTGTCAAATAATCAGAAATTAACTATAATACTTCAAGTTAGAGAATATTTTCTCTAGAGAAAAATTTCAATTTGTTCTATTTTCGCAAAATTATCAATTTCTGAAATTCAATATTTCGGAGATGTAGTGAAATGTTCCATTTTGACTAGTCCATAATTCACTGTATTTACTATAAAGAAAGTATGTCTTTTTAATCTTTAATAACAGAATTGAAATATTTCAAACTTATTGATTTTAAACTAAATAAAAGTGTTGTCGTGCTACAAATAAAAAAAGGATGTCTATCCTTAATAAGCAATCGGAGAATGATTCAATGAACCGTTTGATTTCATTAGAGATTGAGAGAATATTCCTATCTTAGTCAGCATATTATTGGACAGGTGATTACGACAACTTGTATCTATTTTTGCTTCTAGCTTTTTAATCTGATAAATACTATCTACTAAAGATATTTTTTCTCATTGAAATAAAAACGATTAGAACGCATGTTTATCTCTACTAGTAAGGATAAAATCTACAATAGTATCATAAACCCGAATAATGTAGAATTTGATTTCATCGCTGGAATCTGTCTTCTACATAATCATAATACTATAAAACATGATTGATCATTGTCATCAATAAAAAAAAAGAAAAGAAACTGAATAAAAAATAAATTATGCATAGTGCCGTTTTCCTCTACCTATAAGAAAATAGAAAAAAAGTCATTCTCTACAACAGCTCTACTATTTTTTTAATTTTTAGTTCTGGATGAAAAACTTGCTCTATTAAATCAACATTTGTTAATAATGAAACAAACAAATGATTTACGTCAAGAAAATCTTCTATTAACTCAAGTATGTGCTAATAAATTTTGGTCAGAATATAATGAACTTTCAACTATTCTTAATAATATTGCTCAACAATTATCACAAATTCGTCCACGTTCAACATCACGTCATTATCTTGAAAATGAACAAGAAAAATATAATCAATTAGTAAAAGATTTTTCAAATAATGAAATTAAATATCAAGAAATTCTTCAAACATATAGTGTACAATTATTAACATTAATATCAGATAATCAACAAGAAACAGATGATATTCATCGTTATCTATATGAATTAGAACAACAATGGAATCGTATACAAACAGATTTAAATACATGTCAACAAGAATTAACACAATCATTGATTAAATCTGATGAATTAAATGCTAAATTAGAAAATGTATCAACATGGTTTGATGATAAATCATCATTTACAACAAATAATGAATTAGAACATATTCGAACATTTAAAGAACATTTAGATAATAAATATATTGATATTATTAATTTAAAACAAGATTATACTGATATTGAAGAACCAAATGAATATGTTGTAGAAGAAAAACCAAATCTTGTTGAAGAACAATTCGTAGAAATTGATTCTAAATGGTCTCACTTAAAAGATAAAATACAAGAGCAGTAAGTCAAAAAATTCTATTCATTGACGGCTACATAAAATCTATGACATTATTTGTTTTTCGATGTATTCGAACTACCAAGAAAATATTTTTTCATATTCTAACTCATAACACAATTTTCTTTAGTGTGCATCTGAGATTAAATTAGAATAGTTCATCGGATCCTATTCATGATGATAATAGATGTTTAGGAAATTAGTTTATGTGGGTGAAAACTTTGAATTTTTCGAAAATCGAAATTTACTATAGCCTTACTGGACGAACTCTACGAGTAGGATAACCTTTATCAAGAACATCTGAAAGAAAACTGAAAAATCTTTTACAAAGAGTATTATCGGCAGTATTTAAATCAGTAAAAAAAGAATTCGAAAAACATCATATGACTTGTAGTTTAATTTAAAAAAAAATAAAGTTCAACACAATGTTTATTTCTTTTAGGAAAACTCTTATTTATGAAACTGCTCTTCGTCAGAATCGTATTGGTGATGTTATTGCTGATATAAATCAATCGTTAGATGCTTGTACAATAAAACTATCTGTTTTAACTGATAATTCTTCTGATATTAATCTTACTGATATAAAACAGATTGAAATCTTCATTGCAAAATTTCGTATACTTTTAAATGATATTGAATTAATATCATTTGATATTGAACAATTAAGACAAAGTAATTATGAAGATAAAAATACTGTTTTATTAATAAATAATCGTTGGGAAGAATTACTTAAACAAGCAAATGAAAAATATAATTTATTAGAAAATAAATTACATGATATGAAATTTAAACAAAAATTATTTGATCAAATTTATCATGAACTTAATTTAATTGATAAACAAGTTCATGAAAGTACAATACATACAAAATTTTCTTTAATTATCGAACGTTTAGAATATATTGAAGAACAAATCAATAAACAATTTATTGATGATAATAATGAACAAATCAAAGATTTAAAAAGTAAATAATAACAAAAAAAAAAAGAATCAATTTCTTTATTTTGTTTTTTTTTAAGAACATTTAATCGATATTAAACAACGAACATTAACAAAGGGTCAAGAACTTCTTGAATTAACACATTTTATTGAACTTTTTCATGCATCATTAAAAACATTCACTGATTATTTAACTGAAAGTGAACGTTATTTAAATACACAAAAACCAGTTCAACGTCGTTTTGCTTTATTTCAAGCATTATTAAAACAAGTTGATGAACATAAAGCATTTCAAAATCAATTAGAAATATATAAACAACATTTTATTGATTTAGATAAATTAGCAATACATTTAAAATATGTTTTACCTAAAAATGATTCTATTTATATAAGAAATTCTTTAACATCAGTTCAAACACGATGGCAAAATATTCTTACACGTACAAATGAAAGAATGAAAGAATTAGAAAAAGCTGTTCAAGCAGCACAAAAAGTAATTGATTAATTTGAAACCAATAAGTGATTACTTTTCTATTTTTTGCTATTTTATTATTCTTAAATAGATGATTCGACCGGTCGTAGCAGATATTGATAGAATTAAAAGTGAAGTGAATCGACAAACATCTCTTTGTCAATGTTCAAAAAAATATGACGTACAACAAATAGCTGAAGGACGATATCGAGTAAATTATACGAAAACAAAAAGATGATCTTATTTTCAAATAAAATAAATATATATTATTTAGTTTGGTGAATCACAAAGTCTTCGTCTTGTTCGTATACTTCGTTCAACAGTTATGGTTCGTGTTGGTGGTGGTTGGACAGCACTTGATGAATTTCTTGTTCGACATGATCCATGTCGAGGTAATAGAAATATAATCATTTTAATTACACATTTTCATAAAGAATTATTTTTTTGAATCACTTTTTTCTGAACACAAATGATCAGACTGTAACAATATCTAGGCTTATAAGGCAGATCTTGAAATATATTTCTTTTTTATGAACATTTTTTATTCTGAAATAATTTTAAAAAAATCTATATTATATACAGGAATGCATGTTTATAGTCGATTTTTGGCGACTGTTGCTGCAGGTACCTTGATCTATTCATCTTCGTATAATTATATGTGCTTTATTTTGTTTTGCTTCTTTGTATAATCACGTACTGCTGGGTGTTTATAAAATCTGGCAGAATATTTATCACATGATTATAGGTGTTATCATAGGTGGCGGAACATTTTTGAATTTAAACGAACCACATTCACTACTTTTTATTTCTATCTCACATTTTGCATTGTGGAAAGTAATAAATTCAACATTTTCTGAAGAATATTTCTAAGTATCAAATCGTTTTTGAATCAGTACTATAGTCATTATGTAAGTGTCCCGCGATTTCCTTAGGAACACTAAGAAAACTGAATTCCGACTTGGAATTTTCCATAGAGACAGATCTTATTGAGAATAATTTATGGTAAAAGTATGCACTGCTCATATATAGTGATGGACTAAAATTTAGAGTAGTAGTATTTTTGAGTTATCGTTTGAGTAGCTGAAAGGCTTCTCGCTCAAGATTCTTCGATCGGAAAATTTCAACAGAACTGTTTTGAGGAGAAATTCTGCAAAGCCAAAATTACCCCAAAACCAGTTTTTCTGGTGTCTCTGTATAGCTCCGCTGCCTATAGGTATTTTATTGTTTAGTAATATGTTGTCAATTTTTGTTTGTGTATTTCTTCTGTTTTTTTACATATTAATTTTTTTTTCTTTTAGCTAAAGGTCGTACTAATTACGAATTACATCCAGAAAGTTATGCTTTACGTGATGGTGTTGCTCAAACCATGACATTTTTTAAACCAAGACTTGTTACTGTTCATCAACCAACATGTCTTTTTCATCAACAACAACAATCAACTGGCTCATTAAAACAATCATCAGCTATTACACCTATTCCAGTAAATATAAATTTTATTTTTTGTATGCATCATTCTTTTTTCTATTCCTTTTTAAAGCCTGTAAAAGATAAATCTAGCCGAACACCATCAACAACATCTTTAACACAACAACAACAAAATTCATCATCAAATGGTGATTTATCCATATCAGGTGAAGATCCTTCAGTATCGCAACACATTCAAAGTAAGCAATTTATATTTAAAATTTTTTTTCAAATTCAATCCTTAATTAGGTGATTCAGAAACAAAACCATCCTTAATACCGATACCAATTCCAATGTATACACCTTCAGCATCAACATTAAGTCGAGCATCAAGTCGTGAAAGTGTTCTTTCTGAACATTCATGTACATCAACATCTTCAACACAACAACGGCGACCAAGTAAACTTCCATTGCCAATATCTCGATATAAAAAGGCAACGAATGTAACGACACCGGTCAAAAATTCCTAGAAAGACATTTTATCGCATTTTTTATATATATTTATTCTATTTTCTTTTTATGTTCCTAGTCAAGATTTTATTCATGTTTTAAATCTCTTTTATGGGTGCTCTAAGTAGTACTCGGGTCAATTGTTTTTTTTTTCTTTCTTATATGATATAGCATTCTGTTTGGTTGTTTTTATTTAGCTAAATACTAACTAAACCCTTTCCAATAATAGAAGAATTTGAGTCTTCCAGTATGTCGAAACTTTTCAGAGGAGGAAATAATGCTCATTTAGTTTTTGAAGGTTTTTCAGCGGGGAATCGTGAGAATGAAGTTTATATTTGATGTAAATATACTGATTTAGACAAAAGTTAATTGAGAAGAGTTTTCTATTTTATTCGGCTAATTGATCTTCTATTGCAGGAAAGGGTTTACATTGGCTTTTGTTTTGATTATTTCTTTTATTCTGTTTCATTTGCTTATTGTAATGCTGTTGGATCTCGTTTTTGTTATTTTCAAAAAATTACTAACAACTAAGCTGTTAATGCAGACTTACATTTATAGTGCCTACAATCTTTATATTAATGGGAGTATTTTAATAGAATTATTCATTTAACTGAATTCATAATTTGATATATGAACAACAAAATGCAAGAAATTTCGATTTCTATTCCCTATTTATTTGACACAGAAGTTCAAGTCACTAGATAATATAACTGCCGAGTTTCTTTTGCAGGTCATGTCTACTAGAACAATTTAGTGATCTGGTTGTCTCTTATCATTTGCAGGTGAAACAAACTCAAGAGAATAAAAACAGACACTTTTGAAAATATTTGTCATTACTAGGCAATTGCGTACTTGAAATGTCGTCTTAGTTAGACGAGCTTAAATCGATTCGGTTGTATGATCTACTAATGAATAGATTATGGTCATTTGAATGGAATTTTTGCTGAAAACAAGATATTTCAGGAACATTCAAAACAAAAAATATTGAGCTAACATTTTACCTCTAGACGTGTTTGATAGCCGTTAGCTAGTCCTGAAAGGGTGTAAGTGTGGATTTTTTCTTCGCCAACGCCAAAGATTCACATTCACACCTTTACATATTAGCGATAGTACGTGAGTGAGCATCAAGAACCATTAAGAGAAACGAAATGGATGTAATGTAATGAACAGTTCTTATTTATTCAAACTTTTCAACTCGATAGAAGTCTAGAGACAGCAAGTTGCAAAAAGCTCTTGATAAGATGCAGTCGCATTGAAAGAAAGAAAAAAGAAAAGCACAACTTTGAATTTCTTCAACACTCATTTGTTTACTCTTTCTTACTTTTCATAGTCACTCACTACATAGGCAAGAACGGAAGAAAAATAATGATGATAACAATAATCAAAATACATTAGTGTGCATTTCTTTCGTTCATTGTTAATATATTTTTTTAGTTGATTTCTCTTGTTTGCCATAGTTGCATATTCAAAAAACACTCAGCACAATCATAATGTGGATGTGGGTGATAGAAGAGCTACATTCACCCACACCCAAAAACACGCATGTAAACGCGCGATAATGGTTCCGTGTCCACGCATGTGTTGCTATAACCTTGCATGTGTGGGTGTGGTGTGGGTATGCGTGTGGATGTGGGTGGATGTGGGTGGGCGTGGGTGTGAGTGGGTAGATGTGGATGGGTAACTGTGGAAGTCGGAATGTTGTCTTC